AATCACAAAGCGTGCCCAGCACAGCCTTCGTGAGATGTGAGAGTGTTTGTGCGTAGCCATTGTCTTGTTTTACAGATTGTCGACCAACTGGGAAGCAGTAGATGGACCTTCCCGCGGATTCAGAGTGGTGGACATTCCTAAAGGAGAAAATAGACGCTAATTCTAGGATATCAAAGGTACTTGCACATGATCACGTATGGCGGCAGGGCTCCCTTCAATGCGACGCACTCTAATCGTAACAATTTGTGAAGCCAAATACGGTTGTGATAATTCCTAGAATCACAAGTTGTTGGGTTGGGGAAGTGGGGGAGGTGAAGAGGTGTTAATTATTCGATGTCTACCTAGGCAGGCCATAACTAGGTATGGTGGCAATCACACATGGTGGATAGATCACCCATATCTACTGCATAGCCAGGAATATGACAGTGCAGTAATGCATTCTTTAATCTATCTGTGTGGAGTTTTAACTGTTACTCCCTTCATATACACAGTGGATGTTCTCTAGATTATCTGGCTTGCACTTGTACTGACGACTTGACACACTTCTCTTGCGCATCTCCCATTATATATCTCAACATGAGGCCACGCCCCCCTTCTCGATCATTCTCGCTGACTCTGGACGCTCGCTCTACCGGCAAGACTCTACCATCCTCTTCCGTCACCTGACCACGCTCCTTTCTCGAACATTCCCATAGCCACCAGTCCCTTCACACTCACAACTGATACCCCTGTCATTACCTCCCGTGGCCACTAGTGCATTCGTACTGTAAGCTGACTTCTGTGTCATTACCTCCCGTGGCCACTAGTCCCCTCACACCGCATGCAGGCTTTATTGTCATTACACATTGATAGAATTGGTAAAACATTCCAATAAAAAGAGCCTTGAGACTCATTGAAGTTATCCCATTTCATATGGACATACGTTGGTGTTTTCCGGCTTCCTCCTACCTAAAGCAAAACACTGAGGAATGGAAGTGGTCAAACATTCCAATACGGCAAGCCCCTTCTGAAATTAGAGTCTGGAGACGCACGAGGTTATCCTGGCTCATGCGGGCACACAAGCAGGAAAGGTGACTTTGTTATCCTTCCCCTGCACCTACAATTAGCACAGTTGGCTACGTACAGTGCGAAATAAGTTCAACATACACACATCTTGTGCCTCCATTGTGGCCCAGGCGATGGTGTCCGACCAGACGCTGCCCATGAATTACTACACGGTGTTCCACCACGTGGCGGAGCTGCTGCCCCGAGATGCCATCGTGGTGAGCGAGGGTGCCAACACCATGGACATCGGTCGCACCATGCTGAACAACGCCCTGCCCCGCCACAGGTGCGCCATGCCACTGGCCCACACCCGCCCCACAGTGGAGGAGACTGCCCGCACTTGAGCCTCTCTTTCGGTGACTTCCCCGTGTCACGTCGTGCTACCCACATTTGCCCTTGTGCTAACATGTGCATCCTTGTGCTTAACTAATGAACGTGCACCTCCGATTGGCACGGTTGGCTATGTACGGTGCGAAAGAATTTCAGCATGCGTACGTACGTGTACGGAGATCCAAGTGTGGTCTTGCAGGTGAGGCCGTGAAGTTGCCCCCCAGTAGTGCGTGGTGAAAGCTGGAGAGAACAAATGCTCTCAACAGGCAGCGTGACCTGGAAGGACCACACTTGGATTATGAGTGGCAGTGAAGACCAGCATGCGAAACATTTCACAAAGACTATTTCTCAAACGTTTCCAACGTGTAGGCTTCTGTTTCTGAAAAATACATTTGAAGTGAGGAAGTCCGCATCCTGTGTGCCTCTTAGTTGGCCAGTGCTGGCGCAGCACTGTCGAGACGAGGGTTGGTGGATCGCGCAAATGTTGGGACCTGCCTTCCCTTGGCCGTCTAGGTGCAATACCCTGCATTTCCTGGAGATAGCTTTACAGCAACATGTCGACTAAATCAGTTTTACCTGTATGGGATACTGTTGCCACCTCGTACACGTGGGGTTTTTTTTTCCAGGTGCTTCAGTTTCCTCCCACTTAATTAATAGGCTGATGACACCTTAATTTATTGAGGATCACAGACGACAGAGCATGGGGTGAAATTTGGTGCCAGCTCACCGCCTGGCTATTGCCCACTCCCACCTGTCTATGGTCCCTCGCACCTCTGAGTTGCTCTCTCTCTTAGCGAGAGTCGAGCGAATATCATACACGTCGAAAGTTGACACTAGCATTTATATTATCTGCACGGGAAGGATGAGGGTACTAGCCTGCTCAGCTGTCGCGGCTGATGTGATGCGTGCGCAGGCTGGACGCAGGGACGTTCGGCACGATGGGAGTCGGCCTGGGATATGCCATCGCTGCGGCGATGGTTGTCAAGCAGCAGGATCCGCCTCCCAAGGTGGTGTGTGTAGAGGGAGACAGCGCGTTTGGATTCTCTGGCATGGAAGTTGAGACCATGGTCAGGTAAGGTGTAAGGACGGTCGGGGCTTTCTTGCACGGGATGTAGTCTAAATTATAATTGATGAATGCTGAATGTAATTTTCATTGTTGGTGTTAGGGTCTCATTAAAAGCCCACGTGTTGCTATGCCAGAGTGTTATATTCCGAATGAGAAGGGTGCAAGTTCCAATCCTGGTCGGGGTCAATGAAGCCCATCGCCATCCCTCTGGGGTCAATAAAATGAATACCATTTGTTGTTATTTTTTATTTTCTGGACCTTCATTTGATTTTAAAATCCAGTGAGCCTGGTTCACATCCAGAGAGCTGTCTGTGATGAAATCAGGTTCTGAAATGCTCCACAAATAAACATCTTCATACTTCATTTGTATCTGGACTTCATTTGGAAAAATTCAACTGTGAAAATATTAAATCTTGATTTTACACGTGTGACGAACATTACTCACAAAGGCAAAGCAGGTAGCAAAGTGCTGCCCCTATTTGTGTGGAACAGGTCACGTGAAGGTTTCTCAGAGGTAGCTGAATAATGTTCCCTTTTTTTGGGCCATTCTCCAACATGAATTTATGCACCGCTCTGCGAAACATCTGAACATGTACTTCATCTCATGATGTGACACCGATAGGACAAGTGGGTAAGAGTAGGGGGAATTTTGTTTTTATATATACACAGTAAGCCAATAAAGAAATCGTGAGTCCGATGAGGATAGGCTGCCTCTCCGTGCTCGCTGCAGGTACAAGCTGCCGGTGGTGGTGCTGGTCGTGAACAACAACGGCATCTACGCGGGGCTGGACGAAGATACCTGGGCCCTGCTGTCCCAGGCCGGTGACGCCGCCTCCGTGTAAGTGCCAGGGTGGCCTCACCCCTCTCAGCCTCTGTGTGGCCAGATTGAGTATTGCCGAGGACATACTGATGCTGAGGGCACACTTAACACCATGCGAAGGGAGGTGGCTGGGTAATTAGTAGGACTAATACCGTACTAGAGCACTGAGCCTGCACAACTGAGATCATAGTTTTGAATGTGTGTTTTGGTCAACTATGATTAATATAGGTTGCATTAAGCAGGGTTGACTTCCAGTAAAACACCATGTTCTCTTAACTCTATTACATGGTAATTTACGATGATTTTACATGTGCCAAGCTATTATCAACCATTCATGATTGCTTACTAGGAGATTTCGGATGCACACGTTGCGCTGTGAGATTGTTCACTGCTCATCGCCACCATTCTGGCACTGCAGCGTCCCTCCCACGTCGCTACTGCCTGGAGCGCGCTATGAGCAGGTGATGTCGGCTTTCGGAGGCCGCGGGTTTCTGGCTCGCACCCCCAAGGAGCTCCGAGAGGCTCTTCAAGCGAGCCTAGCTGAGCCCTCTCTCCCTTGCCTCATCAACGTGCTCATCAGTCCGTCGGCCGACCGCAAGAAGCAGGTTTGTGGCTGAGCCGAGGTGGGCTGTTTGCATCAGTGGCGTAGCATGGGGGCCCCCTATGCCTCCCCCCCCCCCTCTTTTTAACCTGGCACGTGACCCCTTCGGCCATTGGGCCCCGGTGGGTTTACACTTTCTGCACATTAAATAGCTCCGGCACTGGTTCACATTTTATAAATATTATGTGTGAGGGGTATTCATAAACTGTTACCTCCGATTAGCATGGTTGGCTACGTACAGTGTGTAAGAAGTTCGACATACATACATGAGGCTTAATGGTTAGAGTCATACAAAACTCGTTTAGGGTGGTTTAGATGCATGGTCTTTAGTTTATTGTATTGTAATGTAAATCTGTTTTTTTATATTTTAACAGCCTGTCTTCAGAAAGTGAATTTCCACCAGCTGAGTGACCACGAGAGATACATACATTTCAATGGTCACATATCTGAACGCCACTGCATGCCCACGTAACAATCCATTTTTTTGTAAAATAAACAGTAAGTGTGGATGAAGGATAGAGCATTGAAACACATGTTTTTGTTTACAACTTATTAAGGTCGGACAAACCATGTTTTAACGATGTAGCATTGGTCTAAAGCAGTGTTCTCCACGAATTATCAGAGGGGGGCCACTTTCCCCGATAAGACGCCATCAGTGTGATGGTGATGGGGTGTGTTTTGACCTTTGTGTCAGGGGCCGCACTCTAAATGCCACCAGGGACCGCCAGTGACCCGCGGGCCTTGCAATGAAGAACGCTGGTCTCAAGTATTTGATTCCGCAAGTCTAATAGGGGGTACATTCACGGCTGCCTCTGACCCTGTCTTTCAGGAATTCTCTTGGCTGACTCGATCAAACTTGTGAGGGAGCTGCCCATTCCGTGGCTCTGCTTTTGCCTTTGCAAGGGGCATCTGGGGGCAATAGCCGCTCTGTAGGGCAAAAGCCCAGGAAGACGGAGCCACGTTTCTTCAATTACTTGCCTCAAGAATGTATCCAGGGAGAAAAAAAAAACCCTTTAAATATTCAGTGTGAAATGTAGATATATTGTGATGCAATCGTAAAAATTCTATCGATGCAATATATTTATAAAATTATTCTCCTGAAAATCTCTGATTAAGACAGATTTATTTTGTCGTAAATTTTACAATAAAAATAATGCAATTCATCAACCCCGTGTTTCTCATTTATCGTCATGGTGTTTCATGAAAATTAAATTATGCCTGTTGATAATTGTTCATTAGATTTTGAAAGACTTGCATTTATGGATTTTTCAACACCGTAAACATTTGCGCAATGTGCTGCAGATGTAAGGAAAATCACACAAGTAATCAAGTAGAGTCAATCTCTTTAGACATCAATAAAAAACATTCCCCTACGATATTCACACTGGTTTTTTTTCTGCAACTTGTGCAGAAATGTGAAAATATAAAGCCAAAAATAATCAGCGCGTATTGTAACCTATTGAATTTGCAATTTACAGGTAATGTTTGGTAAAATGCAGTGTGGGGGCGGCGTACAAATAGGATCATCTCAGTTTAACACTTAGGCTTTCGCGATAAATATCCATAATCAGGATCATTCACCACCCCCGCGGCATGAGTGGGAACTCTTAGCTATTGGAGTGTGAAGTTCCATGTGAGTGTAGGCGATGCAACTGTCCCGGGAACCGTGGACCAAAGCCAACCAGGTACCGGCCTCCGAATGGGGGGGGGGGGTCAGAATTGAACAGGGGTGACCCATTGTATTGCAACAGGGGCAATGCCCACCGTGCTACGCCACTGGGATTAAATTAACGTTGCCTGTACACATGGCAGGTATGGGGAGAGAGGGGGGTGGCACCGGACAGGGTGTAAGTGTGACTTGATCCACAATAACAACCCCGTGCACACGCGGAGCCATGGGTCATTTCCGTGCTTCGCCCTCGGGGTGGCCCCAGGTTAAACGAACCCCAGATGCGCAGGGGGGCCGGCCAGGGTCTGCGCCTCTCCTCTCCCCTCCTCGTTAATAATTGCGTCGCTGCACGCAGCGCGAATACTCAGTGGCTCTGCGTGCTTGGAGAGGACGGCGCCAGCCAGCAGCACGGAGCCCCACGTACGTGCACAGCCGGTTCCAGCCCGTCGCTTGCCGACTCTTTAATAGGGCTCGAGCCTTGTGCGTAAAAAACTCACCCCGCGGGAGAGCGCACGGTGCACCATCCACCACTGACGATGCGCTCCGCTGGTGCGCGTCCACCCGGACCCTCACTCCGCCTTGTGTCCACCACTGCCATCTGCTGCTACCTCTGCTGGCTCTGTTGTCTCGTCCCCACGGGGCTCGCAGCCAAGAGGGGACACGCGGATCCGGACCGCCTCGATGCGCGGACTCCTTCGCTCCCCGCGTTGCGGAGCGGCGCGCCCGAGCGCACGCAGCAGCTGGCGCTGGAGGAGCTCCTGGAGCGGCTGCTGCCCGGCCGGGCCTCCGAGATGATGCTCCTGGTGAACTCCTCCATGGTAGCCCGGGGTCACGGCGAGGGATCCCGGGACGTGTTCCGCCTGGAGAGCCTGCCCGACGGGCGGCTGCTGGTGGTGGGAAGCAGCGCCGTGGCTGGCGCGTACGGGCTCCACCACTACCTGAAGGAGTACTGTGGGTGCCACCTGGGATGGGCCGGGCGCCAGCTGAAGGTGCCTCGACCGCTACCCCGGGTTGGGGGAGCCGTGCAGGTGGTGTCCCCCAGCAGGTACGCACACGGGCCCATTGCCCAAAACGTGACCATTGTTTTTGGTTCCTATTAGGAGAGTTTGACGAATGTATTGAGTTTTAGGTTTGGCCAGGGCTTCATTTCAGAAAGGGTTTTATTCGCCATGAAAGTTCACACCGACACGGAATTTACTTTGGCAGGATGGTGCATACATTCAACATATAGGAATCTAAAATCTTAAATAAGTTTTAAACAAGTCTTACTATAATAATAAGGGTTAAAAGTCTAACTAACACCAAGGGGCTGAAGTATATAAAATTGAATAAATATCGAATATAAAATAGCTTTAAGATATAATTTAAAAATAAAAAATACAAATAGGTTAACATAGTTAATATCTTTTGATTTAAAGCTTTCGTGACTGCAGTAATTCATATTCTTAGTTCTTTCGGTAAAGCCACGCTAAAGGTAAACAACAAAGCAACAAAATACACATAAAACAATACAAACTCCCACGACGTTTCGACCACAACACAAACACCCGAAGACGACCGTTTGTGTTATGGTCGAAACGCCGCGAGAACCCGCATTGTCCCATATACACTGCGAGGTATATGTGTACCCCGTTGGGAGAGGGGGGGGGGGGGGGGGCACATGAACATCTTTCCACACCCGATACACTACACCAAGTATACCTCTCGCTCTGGTTGTGGCTGATAGTCATGTGTCTAACTCCAGTCTATCAGTGACCGGGAAAATATATACTGTAGTAATAAATTAAACCCCTGGCATAGGGAAATGAGACCATCCCGGGCAGTCCATATCATCACCCTAATCGTACAACTTCTACAACTATTGTTTGTTTTTAAAGATGTTGGATTTCTCGCCATTCCCCGTAATAACGCAGCAAGAGACAGAGCAATTACAGAAAAAAATCCTAAAAATTCCCAAAATTCTGTTGTTTTTTTTAATTGACAAGACGTGACCTGACCTGGAGAGCAGAGAAACAGATCGGTGACTACAGGGCTATTGCCGTCTGCGAGTCGCCACACGATGGACATTGAGCGAATACCAGAGTGCTCAACGGTGCATGTTTGGACAAAGCGAGCAGAGAGAAAGCGGGAATTTCACACGATACATCATCGACCAATTGCGGCATCAATAATTTGGTCATAAATGTGAGTTGAGTTTTCCAGTGGCATTTCTTTCGTGTTAAATTGACCGATTGCTGACTGTGTAGATGGTTAAGAGATGAAACAAAATTACCCAGTTTCCATGTACAGCAAATTCGAGTCAACTTGAGTTCGCCTTGAAATTGAGTTGATGGACAAATGTATTTGGTTAAAAAATAAGAGTGTATACTCCGTCATTTTCCGGCTTATTTCAGTTATCATGCGAGTCGGGCAGGTCTTTGTCAGACATACATGCAAAGAAGACTCTTCCAGAAAAACCAGCGAGTAATAGGTCAAGACCGATTTGCTGACAAATTGATTGTTACACGTTACTTGTAATATACCCACCACCCACAACATTTTTGATTCTCACATGTTCGGTGATTAATTTTTTGCACTGCCCAGAATTTTGACGCAGGAAATTCAGGCCAGCCTGTGAAGACAGCACGGCCCGGATAATGCAGGTTCCAGCCTGAAATGGCAGACGACTCAAGCTGACGAAATAATATTTAGAGAATGTGCTGGTGGAATAACTCGAGTGCATCCACAAATTATGCAGCTTGTCAAAAAATGAGGCAGACGAAGCCGGATGAAACTGGAGACATCACATGTATTTTAAACTGAAAAACACGTGGTTTGAGAAAGGCATTGCAATAAATTATAACCACAGCAGCCACGTGCATTACGTTACCAAACATAAGTTGAAATAACACTGGACTTTATCATTCACGTTATAATATTTTTAAGACAAAATCATGCCAAGTTCTAATACAAATACGAGACTTCTAAACATGATTTTGTGATATCACACGCCAAGGACATGGGCAAATATTAATGTATGCCACAGCTGGGTCCCATAAGACTCTCCAACGGAGGGACGGAGGAATGACCATCAACAGCAGCATGTGCTTCTTATGCATTGCTCTACAGCAGCAGGAGTCGGTAATGGGAAGCAGATGTGTGTGGTGAGCAGGGTTGTGCCTCCAGGTCGGTGAGTACGTGGAGCTTGGGTACCATTGGGCAGCCCACACGCCAGTCTCACACGGACGAAATAACAACTCCAGCTCAGTGTGTAGAGCGTGGCGCCCGTCCCACATCCCTCCCAAATGGTGCACTGTTGTTGACAATGCGATGGCGTATGTTCCTAAACACAGCAGAACAGATCAATGCACAGCACGTACATGCGCAGCCCTTTTGTTATTACAATGCTGGTCAGTGCGAGATGGAGAATGTGGGGGAGGGGGCATTTATGGCGGTGATGCGGCCCAGCGGTAAGCCCGCTCGTTGCAGAGGTTCACGGTTCGAGCCCATCGCCGCCCTGGTTAATACTGCTCGTGTGTTAGCCATAAAGACATGCACCGTTTGCTTCTCAGTGGATGTCAGAGATGGCGTTGGATGTATTCAAAAAACAGAGTTGGCCAAGTATGTCGGCGTCATGGTACAAATGTTAAATATTAGCAAATTGCCTAATTGGGGACCTCTTGGAAAAGAGTTGCGGCTCAGTGAGGATTTCCTGGGTATTTTTTATAACAATATTCATAGAAGCATAAGACAAAATGGATGTTACAGTGCTGTCTGCCACGTTGTCCCCAGAGCTCTTTGACAACTGGTTTGTGCATTGTGGTCACCCATCCAAGCACTATCCAGGTAAAATTCTGGTTAGCTCGGAAAACCTGATGCATTCCAGGTGATTTGTTGTAACGTTCTGACCTGCCCAACTGGACATCTGTGAAAAAAAGCTTTATAGCTCATCCGATTCCTCCAGTATAAATATTCTGATTATGATTTGACTAATCACATACAAAGCAAAGACTATACAAAATGGATCTTCAACAAAAGACGATAATAATTTTGAGTCTTCTGTTTCAAGACGCACCTGTCATTACGTCATGAATAGGCACTATAATTGCTGCGTTGGTAAATTCCAGTACTTGTATGTATGTTGAACTTATTCTGCACCGTACATAGCCAACCGTGCTAGTCGGAGGTGCCAAGAAGGACAACAAGGTAATGATCAAAAGTGGTACTTCAGAATTTATGACATCCATAAAAAAGGATGCAAATGTTATTGTATTTTATAAGTGTAGCACAATGATCAACACCATGGTACTCAACTAAGGGTATTCTGCCTATTAGATTGTCAATGCTACCATAATTCCCTCTCATTTCTGTCTTGCGTGATGATCACATAACTCATGCTTCTCAACGGGATGATCGGCATTTGTCCAAGCCCTCCAGTCGTCCTCATTGTCAGCAACACTTCTTCATAAAATCCAATCCGATCCACCGTTGGTCACTGCACACACACGCGTCACTCAGAATCCATTGTTGTCACTGCACTCACACACACGTGACTCAGAATCCATTGTTCTCACTGCACACACACACGTGACTCAGAATCCATTGTTCTCACTGCACACACACACACACGCGTGACTCAGAATCCACCGTTTGTCACTGCAAACCGGGGTCGGGCTCCTCTGATAAATCAAACATCTCTCAGCTGCTTGGCAGAACGGGGCAAAAATGATATTTGTCTTCAGTATCCAGACTTTAAACAAACGTTGACTGGAATAATTCTGAAAGAGGGCTTAGCTTTCGGCGGTCGGTGTGCAGTCGCACAGCGTGTGGTAGGCATGGGCACTGATGCCATTAATGAAATGGTGCTCTCTCCCCTATCCATTTTTTTTCTCCTCCCTGGTGCCTACGTGAGCCCCGGTGCAGTTGCACCGCCTGCACACTCAATCGCTACACCACTTAGCTGGCGCACAGTGCGCTCAGTTTCATAATCGCACAACGGAGTGGTTCCCAGGAGTGGTTCCCACAATCGCCCTGCGCTCCGTGGGGGTCGTGTGGTTGCTCTGGGTGGCCGTCTATGATCCCCAAACAGTCGCATCATTGTTACTGAATGTTCCAAGCCAGTGAGCACACGCGGTGCTCGTGTTCTGAAAAGAGTGCAATCCATATTCAAACAATGTGATGGTCTGTTTATTATTCCATCTACAACTCACAAATATTGCTAAAGGATGTGGAACAGAAAGAAAACAATCAATGCACGCAATGCACTTAATTACGAGTTTTAAATTGTGGTGAATATTTGTGTTTGGATAAATATCATTTTCCCATAATGTAAACTCTGAAATGCTATTTTATAAATAAAAAAATGTATAGAGCAGTAAACAAGGTGGAACTGTAGCATGGAAAGCCGTGGCGGGCCCGATCCTTTACCATCATCATTCAGGCGCTGCGGTGGCGAGATGTTAAGTCCCTCGTCTGGGATACAGGAAGTTGTGGGTTGTAGCCCAACCCTGACGCTTGCTGTATATTTGGAGTTTGCATGTTATCCCCGTGGTCCCGTGGATTTTTCGACCAGTCCTCTGGTTTTCCCACCACATTAAGAAACATGCGTTCAGAGTATTTGACTGCTATGTATTTCCACATGATGAGCCATTTCGCTGAGCTTTCAATTGTGGCCAGGTCGCTTCCGAAAAAGAGCTTCATAGCTCAGCGGGCCTTACCTGGTGAAATAAAAAAATAGGTTATCAAAGCCAACGTAAATATGATCAAAACCTGTTATTCATTGAAGTAGCACTGCTACGGTTATTTAAATAATAAGGTTATCAGTCAATTTGCAGGCAATTTATAAGTACCGTATTAAAATAAATGAATGACACTAGAGATTAGTGTATAATATTAATAGCTTAGAAATAATGCTGCTGTTGTTGATTAAATTTTTGAATTAAAACTTTCGTGACTGCAGGAATTCAAAAGCAAAAAACCCACTACGTTTCGATCGCAACACAAGCGGACTTCATCAGGCGGAGAGCAAAGAGGGGGCAAGCCTCCAAATGTAGCTGCTTACGAGGGTTTCAAAGTGAGTGGCCGCGGGAAAGAGCTGTGCAAGCAACACGGGCTGCGCAAGAGGCACGCTAATCCTGGAGCAAAACAAAGGGGGAGTTGGGCGGAGGTGAGCTTGTGCAGCGCAAACAGCATGGGCGGGGCAGCGAGTAATGTAGGAGCAGACAGTGGCGGCGGGGAAGGAGTCAGAGACAGGGGGAGAGGGAGGGGGGTGCAGAGATGGGGGGGGGGGGGGTAGAGATGGGGGGGGGCATTGTTGATATCTGGCTATCAACAAAGATTCGTTCACAAAGCCATTCATATATATACAGACACAATTTCAACCGAGACGACGGTTTTAAACTCAGCAATCATTGGAAAGATGTCATCAACCACTTTGGGTCATGACTTGATTTGTGTAGTGTGGATGGGTGTAGCGAGGTGCAATGCCCCCCCCCCCCCACTCCGGTTGAAAGGCGCTTTAGATGTGTAAGTAATTATGATTCCTAACTTTTAAAATTTAGATGAGCAACGACCAACCGATGGCCCATGTGAGGGCGGCACGGTCCTTGACCGGCTTTGGCGATGATCCGCCGCAGGTTTCGCTTCTACCAGAACGTGCGCACGCGGAGCTACTCCATGGTGTGGTGGCAGTGGGAGCGCTGGGAGCTTGAGATCGACTGGATGGCGCTGCAGGGCATCAACCTCCCGCTGGCCTTCACGGGTCACGAGGCCATCTGGCAGAGGGTAACGGTGGCAGCAGCGACACCTCTCGCCCAAGCGTCATTTCTGTTGTAAAGTCTGCGTTCAGTGTTCATTGTTGAATCCCGATGCATTTCTCCATCGGTCTTCATCTGCGGAAGTACTGTTTTTTTTCGAAAATTATATATATCTACAGTGAGGGAAAAAAGTATTTGATTCCCTGCTGATTTTGTACGTTTGCCCACTGACAAATAAATGATCGGGCTATAATTTTGATGGTAGGTTTATTTGAACAGTGAGAGACAGAATAACAACAACAAAATCCAGAAAAACGCATGTCAAAAATGTTATAAATTGATTTGCATTTTAATGAGGGAAATAAGTATTTGACCCCTCTGCAAAACATGACTTAGTACTTTGTGGCAAAACCCTTGTTGGCAATCACAGAGGTCAGACGTTTCTTGTAGTTGGCCACCAGGTTTGCAAACATCTCAGGAGGGATTTTGTCCCACTCCTCTTTGCAGATCTTCTCCAAGTCATGAAGGTTTCGAGGCTGACGTTTGGCAACTCGAACCTTCAGCTCCCTCCACAGATTTTCTATGGGATTAAGATCTGGAGACTGGCTAGGCCACTCCAGGACCTTAATGTGCTTCTTCTTGAGCCACTCCTTTGTTGCCTTGGCCGTGTGTTTTGGGTCATTGTCATGCTGGAATACCCATCCACGACCCATTTTAAATGCCCTGGCTGAGGGAAGGAGGTTCTCACCCAAGATTTGACGGTACATGGCCCCGTCCATTGTCCCTTTGATGCGGTGAAGTTGTCCTGTCCCCTTAGCAGAAAAACACCCCCAAAGCATAATGTTTCCACTTCCATGTTTGACGGTGGGGCTGATATTCTTGGGGTCATAGGCAGCATTCCTCCTCCTCCAAACACGGCGAGTTGAGTTGATGCCAAAGAGCCCCATTTTGGTCTCATCTGACCACAACACTTTCACCCAGTTGTCCTGTGAATCATTCAGATGTTCATTGGCAAACTTCAGACGGGCATGTATATGTGCTTTCTTGAGCAGGCGGACCTTGCGGGCGCTGCAGGATTTCAGTCCTTCACGGCGTAGTGTGTTACCAATTGTTTTCTTGGTGACTATGGTCCCAGCTGCCTTGAGATCATTGACAAGATCCTCCCGTGTAATTCTGGGCTGATTCCTCACCGTTCTCATGATCATTGCAACTCCACGAGGTGAGATCTTGCACGGAGCCCCAGGCCGAGGGAGATTGACAGTTCTTTTGTGTTTCTTCCATTTGCGAATAATCGCACCAACTGTTGTCACCTTCTCACCAAGCTGCTTGGCAATGGTCTTGTAGCCCATTCCAGCCTTGTGTAGGTCTACAATCTTGTCCCTGACATCCTTGGAGAGCTCTTTGGTCTCGGCCATGGTGGAGAGTTTGGAATCTAATTAATTGATTGCTTCTGTGGACAGGTGTCTTTTATACAGTTAACAAGCTGAGATTAGGAGCACTCCCTTTAAGAGTGTGCTCCTAATCTCAGCTCGTTACCTGTATAAAAGACACCTGGGAGCCAGAAATCTTTCTAATTGAGAGGGGGTCAAATACTTATTTCCCTCATTAAAATGCAAATCAATTTATAACATTTTAACATGCGTTTTTCTGGATTTTCTTGTTGTTATTCTGTCTCTCACTGTTCAAATAAACCTACCATTAAACTTATAGACTGATCATTTCTTTGTCAGTGGGCAAACGTACAAAATCAGCAGGGGATCAAGTACTTGTTTCCCTCACTGTAACATGGTCACCGTATAACACATTGAAAAGCTGGCGAATGTACTGCAGTGTACCATTTAAAGAAATACATGCGTTTTTGATCAGTAGCCACACATTTGAAATTGAATATATTTTTTTTGTAAATTACTATTTAAATGAAATCAGTCATAAAAGGAAAGGCTGGTGAATGTATGGCAGATTTTAATTTTAAATTACTACAAGTTATTGAACTACCTTTGAGATTCGTAGCCGCAATTATTTAAATGAACAATTTGAAAAGTATTCAGCGAGTGTGTAATTCCCCACCAAGGGCTTGAATGCCACTTCTAATCTTATGGAAAACACTCTGTGGCAGATCACATGTCAGTACACTAATGTCCTCTTCCATATTATAATACATCTGATATAATTACATCTCTCTTCTACCCATGCACAACTCTCCACCCACAACCTGTGCCAGGTTTTCCTGTCCCTGGGACTCACTCAGAAGGAGATGGACGACTACTTCACAGGTCCTGCCTTCCTGGCGTGGTCTCAGCTGGGAAACCTGCATGCCTGGGCTGGACCCCTGCCCCAGTCTTGGCACCACAAGCAACTGCACCTCCAGGTGATGGACCTGAATAATACAATTGTATTTACAAAAATGAAAATGCAGATTTTCAGCTGAAATGTACAGCCTCTTTTCACTCCAGTGCTGAGTTACGGCCTCCCCATTCCATGTCAGCCGGGAGGGTTGTTTGACGAAACTTATCGACGCTCATTGGTGCGAGTTGTATGTATGTTAAACTTCTTTCGCACCGTACGTAGCCAACCCTGCTAATCGGAAGTGCGGGGGAAGGGCTTGGCGAAAGAGGACCCCAGCACTACTTCAGCGATCACTCGCCACTGATGTTAGCCTTGATTGGGAATTGAACACAGGTCCTTTGGGCTTATACGTACAGGGGAATTGCACTAATCACCGTGTCACTGCTCTAGCATCAGCTGAAATACTGCAATAAACGTTGTGTGACTTATCCTTGTGCTCACAGCGCAAAATCCTGGAGCGGATGAGGTCCCTGGGAATGATTACGGTGCTCCCGGCTTTCGAAGGCTATGTCCCTGCAGCTGTCGCACGGTGACCTTCACACCCTGCTTTCTACATTACCTCTGTCGAACACAACTTTGAAAGCCTTGATAACATCACGTCACCGCTGTGGATATGGCCGATTGGCTGTATTTCAGCAGGCACTGCTTGCTAGCCTAGTCTGACATTTAAATTCGTCTCCCCTGTGCAAATTCGTACACGAAGCTGCAACTGCAGTCATGTATGATGGTTTTTTGTTCTTTCTTTCTGATAATTACAAAATGATGATCATGGATTAATTCATTTGAATCAGCCCTCTGCAAAGGGCAAACGTTCATATTGCTGAAATGGAGGCAACTTCATCGCCATTTTAATGATAATAAAGGAAAAAACAGTCTTAACAGAGACTTAATTTTATACAGGTTTGTCTCTGTGTGCGTTAACTGGAAAATATTTCCGCATCCGACACACCACATCCAGTATATCTCTTGCTATGGTTGCGACTACTAGTCCCATACCTGTTCGAGTCCACCAGCGACTGATAAAATATTCACCGATACATTAAGCGCTCGTCTTAACCGTTGTAATCGTATCCACTATGAAAAAATACGGGAACATATAAAGCACAAAATAACACTCAGTCCAACCAAAAGTATACCGATGATTATACGAAAATGTGTCATTAACTTAAAAATGGCAATATACTCAGTCGGACACACGATACACCACTTCCTGACTGCCTTGTTCTCTTTCCAACCCTTCCTTTCAACTTCCCCGGTCCTCTCTGCATCATCGCCGGCACCAGCCTGTACCCGAAGGCTAACCTGATCCGGCTGAGCAGCTGGGACCGATTTGACTGCAATTACTCCTGCCCGCTGTGGCTGGACCCCCACGATCCGCTCTTCCCCAAACTCGCGAGCGCCTACATGAAGGAGTTGCGCGACGAGTTTGGCAGCGACCACGCGTACTACGCGACCATGTTCAGCGAGCTGATGCCACCCTCCAACCTGACCGCCGACCTCGCGGGCATCAGCGGAGCCGTCTACAAGGCAATGACCGCGGGTAGGCCGGGGACTCTGCTCGTTAACACGCGCGTGGCACTGTGTTAACGAGACGACACACTGGGCATTGTGACGTTTAAATCGAGCACGTGACCTGCGCAATGCCGCACCCCTGCCCTTTTTACCCCTCCCCAACAGTGGACAGCGAGGCTGTGTGGCTGCTGGACACGTGGCCTTTCCTGTGCAACCCCAACTTCTGGCAGGAGCCACAGCTGCGTGCGTTCCTGCGCGGGCCGCCGCTGGGCCACGTGCTCGTCCTGGACGTCTTCGCCGAGACGCGCCCCCTCCACCGTACCACCGGCTCCTTTTACGGGCAGCCCTTCATCTGGTGCATGCTGCACAACTTTGGAGGCAACCACGGCCTGTTCGGCGCCATCGAGAGCGTCAACCGGGGCCCTCACGCCGCCCGGCTCCTTCCCAACTCCAGCATGGTGGGCACGGGCATGGCACCGGAGGGCATCGAGCAGAACGACGTCATCTACGAGCTCATGGCTGAAATGGGCTGGCGAGATGGGCCCGTGGACCTCGAGATCTGGATCGAGTCCTACGCGCACCGCAGGTACGGCCAGAAAGATGCGGACGTTGCGGCGGCCTGGAAGGACCTCTGGCGCAGCGTCTACAACTGCACGGAGAAGCGGGAGAACAGGAACCAGAGTCCCCTGGTGGTCCGGCCTTCGCTCACCCTCGACACGAGTCTGTGGTACGACCCGGCACTCGTCTACACCGCCTGGGCGCGTTTGGTACGGGCCGTGCCTCGGCTTGGCGCCAGCCTGACCTTCCGCTACGACCTGATCGACGTGACCCGGCAGGCGCTGCAGCTGCTGTCGGGGCAGCTTTACCGTGACCTCCTCGCGGCCTACGAGGGTGGCTCGGTGGAGGAGCTGCTGCTGTCCGGTGGCATGCTCTCCTACGAGCTCTTTCCCGACCTGGAGAAGCTGCTGTCGAGTGACGAGCGCTTCCTGCTGGGACGGTGGCTGCTCGCAGCCGCCGCGCATTCGGACAACGCCAGCGAGGCTGAGCTGTACCAGCTGAATGCTCGCTACCAGATCACCCTTTGGGGTCCCACGGGAAACCGGTTGGATGTGGCCAACAAGCTGTGGGGCGGTCTGGTGAGCTACTACTACGCGCCTCGCTGGAAGATGTTTGTGTCAACTCTCACCGACTGTGTGCACAACGAGAAGCCTTTTAACAAACGCGACTTTGACAACGCCTGCTTCCAGCTGGAGAAAAGCTTTGTGCTGGATGACTACGTATTCCCAGTCAAGGCCCGTGGAGACACGTACGAAGTTATCAACCGTATTTTTCTCAGATACTACCACCACATACAGCTTTTAGTCAGTCCTCTTGTGCTTCCCGTGTAATGTCACCGTGACGATAATTATATATTTAGTACCTATGACCACAATAAATGCATTCTTAAGTGTCATTTTTATGCCAGACTCTGACCTTTTAAGATACATATGACGTTTGGAATAATATATCGTAAGGTGTTATTTGTCTAAAAGGTTGAACGTCAGCTGAAGCAAGGAAGAATTTAACACTTGAAAAAAAAATTCTGTCATTTAATCCTTCTCAAACTTACACTCTCCAATTTGAAGCATTTTCTTGTCTATGTTGAATGGTCGATGTGTGGTTTGTGACATCTACAGTTAGTGATACTTTCGTTCTATCTTTTCCTAAAGAACTTGAACTTATTATTTGCAGTTCGTCCTCATACTATATGTGCTATAAGGTATGTTTTATGGGACCTCCTTTGCCAGTACCAAAATATGAGAATAGGTTTTCCCCTTTTTTTGGTAAAAAAACAGGTATTCATATTCTTGGTTCTTTCGGTAAAGTCACGTAGAAGGGAAACAATAAAATAATAAAAATCTAAAAATAAAATTCTCACGATGTTTCGACTGCAACACAAGCAATCATCATCAGGTGTGCTTGTGTTGCAGTCGAAACGTTGTGAGAATTGTATTGTTTTATAGTTTTATTATTTGATTGTTTCCCTTCTACGTGACTTTACCGAAAGAACCAAGAATATGAATCCCTGCAGTCACGAAAGCTTTAAATCAAAACAAAACAGGTGTTAAGATGTTAAAACACCAAAATGAAACCTTTTACAAGGAATCATGTCTGCATTAACCACAATGCAGACATTCTATGTTCTTATAGTATTACAGTAATTAAAATACATAATTCGAATTTATGAAACTGTTCACTGTTATACTTAGTGATCATATCAGTACTGGATGTATCGTAGTAGAATGATAATTATGAAATTCATTCACGGGTAGTACAGCAAAGCACATACTGACTACACCTAAGGGTGGTACAGTATTTGAGTCATGTGTTGATGCATGGAGTTTATATTATGTTACAACATTTATATTTCTTGGAGCTGGATATTAGGTCATATTGGAATATTGTATATATGGCTTCTGCAATGTGTTGTCCTTTGCTAGAAGTGCAGTACAGTTTGTTTTAATGGAAACAATGTAGAAATTTTAAAATAAAACGTGTATTAAAAATGTGTAATTTTTGTTCGAAAAAGTGAAGTTGTGTCCCCATATCAAACGAGCATTGAATGATGCTCGCATGATACCAATTATCATAACCAGCCGTGAGCTTTCCACTGCTGGATGTCAGGATCCAAGTAAAGCAAGAGTGTATGCACACACGAGCGTAGGACAGCACTGATTTCTGTTGCCAGACCTAAGCCATTGATGAAAATTCCACATTTCTATGATAAAGCCATTACAGTATTTCAATGCAAATAACCACTTTTGCCTATCCACAGTAACACTCATTTCATCTACCTCGGGGAACTGATTGCCTGAGTTGACCCCCAACCAGAATTTTAACTCTAAACTTTGCGATTGCAAGTCAAGCTTTCTCACCAGTTACTGGGCATGATGATAACAACAACAGTTCAGTGTTTGTTATTTTGGTTGTGATGTCAAATTATATTCACTGCGGGAGTAAGACCTCTCCATGCTGTTGCCATTCCTCGTGGTTCTGCGATGCCACAATGAATGCATCCCTTGTATTTAAACTGATTTTGCTCCATCTCTGTGGTGGTCGTAATCACGGGTGCCTTCTCTTCATTCATTGCCCCGTCCATTTGCTAACTTCCCTCGGAATGTGTTCTACCCGAACCGACTAACCCACTCCTTTTAAATCAATGTCTCTGATTTGCAGTTATTCCCTGATCCATGTGCCACTCTTTCTGTCTCTCAACGTAAAGTGGAATTAAAAAAAAAGGTAATCTGGGAATTGCACATTAGTTTTTATTAAATAAAATATCTCAATACGCTATGAAATAAATAAGCAGACAATAGGCCTCCTTCCCATTGCTCTCCCTCCACATAAAATATGTTTTTACACATCCATTTACCAACGGCCTTCTCTGACAGTGCATTATTTCATGGGCATTGATTCAACTCGGTGTCTCGTCAGCAGTCAATCTTGCTCAGCAAATCGCTGGTGAACTGCTGAATGTGTTTTGCGCAAGCACCCCTCTGCTCGATGCGGGGTCCTACATCATTAGACTCGTAGGCTTTCGCGACCAATATTATTCATAATAAAGATTTTTTTTTTGGTTAGATCGCGTTATTTTTTATGTTTCGTAACCCTCCACCACCCGACACGGCCAAACAGTAAAAAAATGTGTCACGTTTACAAAGACAAATAGTTCACTACTTTAGCCCACCGGTGTGTTGAAGAGTGAATTAACATTTAAAATTTTGAGTACGACGTTTCGCCGGTAATTACATCCAGCATCATCGGGCAATTTGCCAGAATGGTGAAGCCATCCACTTGCTCCCGCCCTTAAATAGAGCAGCATCAGGGTGACGTCAAATTTTAACCAAATCTGGTGCAGTGATTCGAGGCGGAGAGGGTATTGTAATGATATAATTGATTGGTAATCATTCAATTGTTGTTCATTGGTATGTTTCCCCTATAAGGAATTCCAATATATTTTATTTAATAATACGCTTCCAGGCCGCACTAAGTCTGTAGCTGTCAGAGCGATTAAAGTTAATTGTATTTCTCTCAATTTCAATGGATTCTCTAATTAGTCTTGGCCAGTAATAATTCGTTTTACACAACACTTTAACGTTATCAAAATCAATTGAGTGTCCTTGTTGACAAGCATGCTCTGCCACTGCCGACAGGTGTGTTTGAGATAATTTAATATTTATTTGGTGTTATTTTAGTCTTACGCTGATGTTACGTTCCGTCTGTCCAATATAGCATCTGCCACATAAACAATTAATCCGATATACACCTTCTGTTATTAATTTAGGCAATTCGTCTTTAGTGCAAGATACTAAGTTTTTGAATTTTGTGTACTGTACCAAATCTTTCTTTAGCGGTGGTGGGGGTGCGGGTTCAAGTTTCCCACGCGAAAGTTTAAAACCCACCTTTAGCCACGCCCTCTTTTCGTGACGTCACGCCGCAAAGAGTGCGCGGCGATTGGCTCAGATTGCCGCGACGTCACGTCCACCGTCGCCACGCCCCGAGAGAAGTGAAAGGGCGGGAAAAAAAATAATATTTTTTTTATCAGGCCTTGTCTGCAGCGCGCCGGGGAGACGGCCGCCACTGCGGGGGTTAAACGAACGGCAAGCCTTCGTCGCTGGCGCGACGGGTCGCGAACGAACGCGACGAACAATACGAAGACGACGGTAAGCGACGGGGTCTCGTCACGTTGCAGCGCGAACCTTGGGGAGGTTAAAACGGCCTACCGCGAGCTGGTCGGCGCCAGAACGCAAGGCCAATGAACCAGGAGGATTTGCGCCGTGGACCTGTGGGGGCCTTCGGATGTTTACGTAACTCGATGATGTATGTTGAACTTCTTTCGCACGGTACGTAGCCAACCGTGCTCATCGGAGGTGCGGGGAAGGACGGCGAACCAGACGACAACGATGAGCAGTTCGCGTTTAGTTCGTCGTCCTCACCCGCGCTTCCGATTTTAAAGCGCGGCCGGACGACGTACGGTGCTTAAAGAAGTCAACGCGGACGATTGTGACGATTCATCCAAATGCGAAGACGATCATGAGCCACGGTTTTTTTTTTAGCGCGGACCGGTCTCGTTTGAGCGCGACTTGGGATGTGATGTTAACAGTGCCGGATTAAGTTAGTGCGAGGCCTGTAGCGTATGTTATAAAGCGGCCCTAAATAAAACATTAGAACACATTTTTTTTTACTTTCATAGTGAGGTAATTGTATTATTGAATTTGCTATACAGCCAGATAATACGACAAATCGCTAACCTTAAACACCCAGTCGTTCATCAAAGTCGAAGGCGGTATAGTACTATAGTAATAGAGCAAATGCAGAATCACTAAACCGGAATTGATAGCTTGAAAGCATTTAGCGCGGGTGCCCTTGAATGTACGGGGCCCGCAGCTACTACATATGTAGCTACCTTTGTCACTAGATGAATCCGGCACTGGATGTAAAGCGGCATGTTGTGAGCCAGTCGGCCAGAATGCGAGGCTCGAGTGTTGAATAGCGCCAGGGTCGTGCCCTGGACACGTTGGGGCCTTTGGATGGACATGTTGGTGCCCGAGCAGAGTGGTGGGCAGCTGCCAAGCCGCGCAGTAAAATCAATGTTCGTGTTTACCTTTAGCACGACTGATACCGTCAGTTCGGCGAAATGGACGTCGTTAATTCGCCAATAACACTGCTTTAAATATATATTTTTAATGCCGTGTTTGGTTATGGGGGTTACTGGAGCGTACTTTGCCGATTGTTATATATTATGGCTGTTTAATCGGGAACGTCTCGCCGAGGCCCATAATGTCATTTTTTTGCAGGAGGTGATGAATCCTATGTATTTTCCATTTAAGCATTTTTGCCGGTAATATTTCAAATTTGCTGCATGACGCCAGCACACAATGGGGCAAATCCAATTAAAGACATCACAGGATCTTTAACTGCCACTGTGAAGCAGGTTGGCACGTGTAGGTTAGTAGACTGGCAATAATAACCAGGGCAGCCGCTGGATTTGAACCGTCAACCTCTGCAATAGACGGCCACCGTGCTACCGCCAGGCCATGCTGGTCTGTGTTGGTTGGTAATAATTAAGAGCGATTTATTTCTCTATAATTGCTGTATTTGCGTCGTTGCCGATCGTGTTTTGTCCACCCGTTGGTTGTGACCCGCAGGTGGAGGGATCATGCCGCCCTTTCGCCAGGTGGCCGAGAAGCAGCTGCCAGCCGAGATCTTGCACATGTGCTGGTCGCCCAAGCGCGATCTCATTGGCCTGGCCAGCCGCTCTGGCGAGGTGGGGATTAGACACATCGCCGTTCGTGTGTTTGCGAAGCATCCCTTAACATTGAAAGCTAATTTCTTTAGATTTAAAACTAATTTCTTTGTGTTAGTTTGTTGTCTTTCCCCCCACACTTCTGATTTGCACGGTTGGCTACGTACGGTATAAAATAAGTTCAACATACATTCAGGCATAATTATTTTGCCCATTTGTAGCAGACATATTTAACTTTTCAGTTTTCATGTACAGCTCCTTTACATTAAAGCTGGGCTATTGCGATTACATGACTAATTGATGACATGAGTGGTTATCGGTCCGATTGCTTTACTAAATTGAATAACATGACAATAGTCATGTCTGAACTATGTTTCTATAGATGTCCCTGGACAGGAGGTGATGGGCGGTGCTTGGTAATGTCATCGTCATCAACGGTCCCATTAGGATGTTGGGGAAACAGAAATTTAAAGGAGCCTGAGTGAGCAACCATAAAATAGTTGATTAATTTACTTGACCAACGAATCATCCCAGATGTATGTAGATATACTACTCACGCCTCAGTGTCTCTTGGTGTAGTTATATTTGTGTGTGTGCATGTGGTCAGGTGCTGCTGCATCGGCTCAGTAACTGCCAGAAGGTCTGGGGCCTGCCACCAAATGACTCCACGGGCAGTGAAGTCACAGCCTTGGCTTGGAGACCAGATGGAAAAGGTAGAAGACGTGTAAATGAAATTGGCTTCCATGTGATCACAATATCAGCAGCTTTCTTTGCCGGTGCAATTTTGCAGGGAATTCAGCAATTCCTTGCATGAGCATACGCTCTCATGATAGTCCATGGGCCAGAGCAGAAATCGGTACCATCTGAGCTAGAAAACCTTAAATCGTAAATCTTAACTTAATTGGCCAATAACAGTGAATTATTTGGTAACTCATTTCAAATGGTTAAATGCAGTGTCATGCCTCTTTCGTTTTTGTGAGTTGGGCATTGAGTCATTATATGTTCCAGGGTCTGTTTTGGGTAACCACAGTTGCACACCGGACATTTTCCCATTTGCGTTTCAAGTATTTGTATCTTCTATGGTTGGTTGGAGGGCACTAAAGTTTTGCAACCTCATGTGGTTGTCTGATCTCATGGACTCTGGCAGCCACATTTTAATAAATTAGTGGTTTGACAACGGTAATGGGCTCATAGTGTAAATCAGTCCTAATATAGGCTGGTGTCCCAAATTATTGTCATGAGTGTTCATAGTCCCAGCTGCCTCGCTTCATGAAGATATGCCATTTGCCCACACAGTGTTGGCAGTCAGTTACGGAGATACCGAGCGACTGGTGCTGTGTGATGTTGAGAAGGCGGAGATCCTGCACACGTGCCGTGCATTGCACAGGATCACCTGTATGCACTGGGTGGAGGTGAAACAGGATAGCAGGTATGGTGACTTTTGCATTTCTAGTCTGTCTTTTAAAAGGGCACATATTTCAAGTTTTCTTGGGCAGGACATGTCACAAGGAGGGAATGTAACTGGTGGTCGGGCCTTGTGATTGCGTGGCAACCAAAAAAGGGAACACACCCAAGATGATGTCTACTGTGCCGATGGAGCAATGAGCTCAGATCGTGGATTGGTGCATCGAAGTTTCATGAGAGATGAACGATGGCTTGGGGAAGACTCAATCCAGAAGTGGATTGATCATGGATGATTCTAATTGTTGAAATATTTAGGAAAATTAGGATATAAAATACTGCTTTTTACATATTGTGTTTGTTACGGATTAAACCAAAAAAATTACATATGAATGCATTTGATAGTCATTGTGTTTAAACTGTAGTTCCAAACAAAATTTAAGAACCATTGATTGTACAGTCTAATGATTAGTAAACAAACTGTATACGGTTCTGCCTAAATATGTTTGTCACTGCTGCAGTTACACGTGCATGGCAAGATGTTTGTATCGTCTTTTTTCCAGTCCGGAGTTAAATTCATTCGAGGACGATCACACCGTTTACCTGTCAAAGCTGCCAGCTTTGCCTAAGAGGTAAGACCACTGGCCTTGGCACAATTGAGCTTTGGTACCTTTCATTTAATCGTGTTCAACTGATGAATGGAATTGAATGTGAAGTGGCTTACTGGACTCATTTCTGTATAGAGTGCTGGTTTTTTCTTGTTTGTAAATTGTCTGTGCTTGTTTTCGCAGTGAAGAGAATTCTGATATTCAAAGGCTCTTGGGTGATTCCAGGTATGTAAACAAGTCTTTCTCTTACTGTAATGTGATACAGGTTATGTCAATTTTCTCAACTGTTATCACTCCAGAGATTTTAGCAATATTTGTTAACATTTGAAATGGTTAATATTTGGCGATGGGTATTCTAAAGGTATGTTCGCTCGATTAATTGTACAACACTTTCTGTTACTTTGTAGGCTCAACATTTTAGTTCTTGGAAGTTGCCATGGAGTTGTTGCATTTTATGCCTTTGGAATATTTAAAATTGCAAGTCTTTTGATCAAGGTAAGATAAGAGTTTTTTTTATGCACACATTTTACTCGCATCGAGTTGCAATCTTGTTCTCTTAGTCATACAGTGTTGTTTTATGTGAGGGGAGTGAGCATGCACATGACTGCCATGTGCAGGATTGTGTAAAACTGTTTAAAACAAATGTATACATGCGTGGTTTGGACATGCAACTTTGGTAACAAAGCTGACGTTTGTGCTGTGGTGATATGCAGAGTGAGGGCCAGTGCCTTCACCTGTGTCTCTCCAGCGACCTAAAGGCCCTCTCTGTAGCAGTGAAAAAGACGAGCACTTTGGACGAATCCCACTGCAATATCATTTATTCTCAGGTACCGTTTCACCCTCAACTATTTTTTTCATTGAATGTATATGCAACCGGATTTTCTTTATTTTTTTGCCTGTTTACCAAGGAAAATGCTGTTGAGTCTCGAGAATCTTTTTTGTTCTCCTGGAGGGGTCCTGCCAAGCTTTTGCCGCAGGGGGCAAATGTTGTCAGTGGACTTTGGCATGGTGCATTGGTATAAGGAATTATATAAAATGGACAAGACTGGTGATGAAATGGCAGCCAAAGGAGCCATCACATCTGAGTGGACGAACACCTCGAATACGAGGCAATTGAGATAAGCTCATGCACAGGAGCGAGATGGATTGTGGCGTCCCGGGACAGAGGGATGGAATTAATGTGAAATGTGGGGAAGCCTTCATCCAGTGGTGGATAGAGCAATTTTTATAATAATTTCACTGTTTACAATGGATGTATTGATTTAGCAAGACAATGTGATTTATGTGGTAATTAGTGTCTATACTTCAGTTCTGTTTGAATCTATCTTGTTTCATATGGAAATGTGTATCCCTTGTGTTCAGTGGGATACCAGTCTTCTGGCTGCCAATCTGCCGGAGGTCACAAAAATGGCGAGGAAATTCACCCACATATCAGCTCTCCTCCATGTAAGTCATCAGCAATTCAACTTCACCGAGTTGTGATTGCTGAAATTATGGGTTTTAACCCTGGGCAGCTGCTCCTGATTAAAGTGGGTTCTTAAATGGAGTGAGTTCATGGTTTGAGTACTGTCACCAATAACTGCTCACACAAAAAATGCCACGAAAGATTGGTTTTGCACTTCATATGGCTAAATACCAGCTCTGAGAATTCAAAATATACATTTTTTTACTGTCATGTAATAAATATTAATGACTTTAGCAAGGCAGCTGAGAAAGTGCTGCCTTGTGTGGATAAGAGGTCACTGGAGTAGTTGGACATAGTTCTGTGGAATATGCTTTACTCTAACATGGGGTTGCACTGTGCTAGAAGATTTAAAAATGCATTCTTCATCATGACATGACAGATGGCACAATTGGGATAAAATGTGGATTTAAACGGTGACAAAAAATTAAAACAGTCAACTCGCTGTGTGAAGAGTAAAAGTACAGCCCTGCAATCGCTTGCTCACGTCACTGCTGTCGGAATGGTCTCCACTGGAGGGAGCTCTTTAGAGCCCCTCTCAATGGCATTTGGTCGACTCTTCCACGCTGGCCAGAACCTCGCGGTGTTTACTGTTGTATAACACGTAGGCTTTCGTGGCAAATACCCACATTCGAGGTTTTTTGGGTTAGATCGCGTAAATATATAAATGTGTCGTGAAAGCCGCCACCACCCAACACAGCCAACTAGTAAGGGTTGTCCCGTAAACAGGACATGCCACTTCGTCACAAATGCGAGCTTGAATGCGTGTGTCGTGTGCAGTATCAATATCTGACGGTGCAGAGCATGAGTGGGGCATGGGAGGATGTGCTCATTGAAATGGACATGGGACTCACCAACTTTGTCAAGGTAGGAGTGGGAGGGTGTGTTGTGGTTCTCACAAGCATTTATGCTTCATACAAAAAATGAAAAAGGTGTGCGCCGTAAGTTAACACTGCTTATATATTTTTTATTGAACATTTTCCAGTTTTTTATTAAATACCAATCTTAATGTTATCATTTTGTTTACATTAGAGGTTGTGGAACAGATTCAGATATGCAGACATTAGTATTACCAATATGATTGCAACTTTGGCCGTGACTTATTATGAACTCGCTTTTTTGCCTGTCCAAGAACAGGTGTATATTCCAGTAAATCTGAAATATTCAATATAAAAATTGTTCAGCTCATGATTATTAATGAGGGGGGAGTTGCCCCATTTGGAGTAACGTCACCCGCTAATGGTTATTGTGGAGGGGTGCGGCACGTGGAGTGACGTCACCCGCTCATGATTATTAATGAGGGGTGCGGTATGTGGAGTGCGCGACCTTCTTGTGCGTTAGTGTAAATTTCCACGCGGGCATGAATATTAATGAAGGGGGGGGGGTTCTTTTGCAGTAACGTCACGCACGGATGTAGCACTGCTGCGTAGATGTATTTTTTTGACTTTTTATGTAAAGAAACCTCATTTGAAGCGACTTTGCTTAATAAATTATTTAATTCAGCTTTACCTTCCTCTGCGTCAGTGTAAAAATCCACCCACTCATGAATATGAATGAGGGGGGGTGGGCCTTATGTGGAGTGACGTCACACGGGGGGGGGGGGCTCATGTGGGGTGACATCACGCGGGGGACGGACAGACATTTCTGGGTGATTATAGTAGGTCATAGCTCGTTGCTGAAATGGTTCTTCAGACGATATAATAATGTACAACCCTTTGTCATTCCGCTGCTGGATAAAGACCTTCCCATGCTGTCTTGGTAATGGGGGGGGGGGGGGGGGGGGGGTTGACCATACTTCGCTGGTTGGTGCGAGACGGTGAAGTGATGGCACAAAATATTTCAAAATAAACTAGAAAACTACTTTACAATGTATTAGCTAAATTTTGATTGAAAGCTTTCGTGACTGCAGGGATTCATATTCTTGGCTCTTTCGGTAAAGTCACGTAGAAGGGAAGCAATAAAAATATAAACAATAAAATTATCACGACGTTTCGACTGCAACACAAGCAGTCATCAGGTGTGAAAACCACAACAAGAAAATTTGAAAAAAGTGGCGTTTTTTTAACGTTAGCCCCCACGGATAGCGATTTGACAGTTTGTTCAGATGGACGAGTCCATCTATGTTCGGAAAAGAGGAGGGGGGAGACGATGGTTCAATGAGCCACTCTGTCTACAGGAAAGCTACCCATACGGATGCTTACCTGAAACCGGATTCCCACCACCATCCATCCCAGAAGAATTCCCTCATCAAGACTCTGCACCATAGAGCCCAATGCATATCCGATCAGGAACACATAGCCAGTGAACTCAAGCATGTACACCAAGCTCTTAAGGCTAAAGGTTATTCCGACTACACAATCCGCAAAGCTTTCACTCCAACCATGAAAAAGGACATTCTTGAGGAGCCTTTCAAAACCATCACTTTACCCTACATTGCGGGGATCACAAAAAAGATCTCCAAAATCTTGAATAAACACAAGATCCAGGTCCGATTCAACACATTACATAAATCCGTGATCTGGTTCCGTCTGTAAAAGATGTGATTCCGGACATACAGTACCCTGGCGTCTACAAACTAAGTTGCCTCTGTGGTAGTAGTTACATTGGAGAAACCAAACGACATGTCTCGGACCGCATTCGTGAACACAAAGCAGACCTGAAACACGGTAGGACCAACACATCGGCCGTGGCAGATCATTGTTATAATTCAGTAGGTTCACATGACATTGACTTCTCCAAGACAGGTTCTTTGCAAGCCTTCTGGATACCATGAGAGATTCGTTCATGAGGCTATCCACATATACAAACCCAGAGACAATTTCAACCGAGAAGATGGATTCTGGCTTAGCAATCATTGGAAGGATTTGATAAACCATTTCGGGTCTTAATTGATTGATCACGCTTAAGGTGGTTTTCAGAACGCATCCATTATTTTTCGTCTCCCCCTCCTCTTCCGAACATAGATGGACTCATCCATCTGAACAAACTGTCAAATCACTATCCGTGGTTGCTAACGTTAAAAAAACGCCACTTTTTTCTAATTTTCTTGTTGTGGTTTTCACACCTGATGATGAATGCTTGTGTTGCAGTCGAAACGTCGTGAGAATTTTATTGTTTTATATTTTTATTATTTTATTGTTTCCCTTCTATGTGACTTTACCGACAGAACCAAGAATATAATGTGTTAGCTAGTTTATAAGTAGGGTATGGAGTGTTATCACTTATCCCACACCTCCGATGAGTGCATTTGGCTACATATGGTGCGAAAGAAGTTCAACATACATGATTACGAATCCAAAGATGTTGTTATAATTTTGGCTTGAGTTTAAACAAAAAAAAACGTTCTCTTTGGCTTCACAGGAGAACCCTGACACCTCTGTGAGTAATGAGTTCATGGAGCTGCTGTTGTGGGGAACAGCCAGGTAATATCCAATGCCTTTTTGTTTCCCATAAAAGCCTCAGTAACTTATTTCTTTTCTTGTCTTCAAGAGGGTCTTGCAACGGAATGTTTGGCCAATCCCAGATGGTCACCTAATCCCCCAGGCTCTCCACTCTCTCTATGTCATTGATCGTCTGGTGTGGTGTATTGTAAAACACCACTTAACATCATATGTGGCTGGCTTGGAAATATTAACGCCGCTTTTGCCAAAGTGCAAGCCCGTAAAATGTACAAAGATGGTGTATCATAAAGCTCGTGAACAGAGACCTCGCCTATTGTGTCTAGACTCCGTGTTTTAGATTTACGGGCATAGAACTGCAAAAGACATTGAAGATGAAAATTCATGTTTCTATATTTTTACAGCCCTGAGCTCCAGATGCTGCTATTAAACAAACTCACATTGAAGGTAAGAATAAACTATACACGTGTGCCCATTGCACAGCAACAAAGCAGTGCTGTGTAAATGACATCTCTTGGCGTTTCAGCAGACAAATACACACGTCATACAGGATATATGAACCTTATGGCGGTACTCCGGGGTACCATAGTACCCCGGCTCTCGCATAATGTCTGTGATGCAGTCATTTTTAGTTTGTTGATGGTCGATGATGCGGCAATCGACTCATCTCGACGAGCTGTACACGATGCACCACTATGGTGCATTGAGCATTCAGGGTTTCAGCGCAATCGTCCTCGCTACGTTTCTACATCGCGGAGTAGCACTGATTTTAGATAGATTGGTACCTCAGTCGCGGAGTTAAGTACACCCCTGGAAAAAATAGTGCCCCAGAAATAACATATTTCATTGCCTTGGCCATTTTGTATTATTTGGTACCCCGGGGTACGACAGCAATGATGTGCCACACTGACGTGCATTTGTGTATGTATGTGCGCAGGGCTTAAAGAAGCTGGGTCATGAGGTGGAGTCGTCTTACTACAGCATTTTGAAGCTTCTCACCAGCCACCTGCAGAGGTGGGTTTTCACTTCAGAATCTGGCACAGGGCCAAGCAGGGCCAGGGGCAGGGTTAATCATATTTGTCACGCGTTGAATCAGTCATTACACTTGGAACTTGCGACGTCAGTGACAAGGCTTGGGTTCTGCAATGGAAAAAATAACCTGGCACTTCCCGTGCCATGCATGGCTGGCTCGGCACAGCCCCGGGCAGCTTGTTTGTGCCAGTGGAAAAAGAGGTAATTGTCTCCCCACAGCGGAGCTGATGCACTTCTCTACCACCTGGTGGAGCTGAAGGGCATGGCCATGTGGCGACAAAAGTACGGGTGCCTGGGTCTGCGGGAGGACTCCGTGGAGGGTAAGAAGCCTCCACTTTTTTACATTCACTCGGCCGTTTTGTTCGTCCAGAGCACATTGTTTCATTTATTTATGTGCATGTACAGCCCTTTGGTCAATGCAGTGCTGGATGGGGGTCGTATCCACCTGCCGTGCGGTTCAAGGGAGTTATTTGACCATATTTCATCATGCTGATCTACATGGGTTGGTGATGGCTGGGAGCATAGCCGTTGACGCATAGTACAGTACGACATTGCTTTTGTTGCACTGCCCTCTACTGACAACCTCATTCCACAGCAGCCTACAACACCTGTTGTATTCATAGCGGTCACCCATCTAAGCTTTGTCCAGGCTCAGCTCAGCTTAGTTGCCGAGATCTGCCGAGATCGGGTGCATTCCACGTGATTTGGTTGTAGGCTGTTTAGGTACAGCCTATACCAAAACAACTGGAATATGGCCTTTTCTTTTTCACGACCTTGGTAAACATTTCAATGCTACTAAATGTTTTATTATATTATAGACTAGCTTATATACCCAGCGTTGCCCGGGCCAAAAAATATTTCACAACTACTCTTAAAAATCTAACGGCAGTGCGTACTGACTGTGGTGGTACCTGCTATCACTACAGTAGTACATGCTGACTCTATAGCAGTATTTATCGACTCTATAGCACAAAATACTCATCTGACAGTGGCATGGTGAGGCCTAGTCCCGTGCAGAGCCTCCGGCCTCGCCTAGATTGTCCAGCCGGCCGAGGTGGCACCTTGGCAGGCTGGGGCTGGGCTGCTACCCCAGACCCCACACCCCCCCCAACCACGATCTCCCCGGCCGCTCTACAGTAATATCTATGACCTATAGTGGTAGCATCTAGCGACTGTATATATTAGTAACTGCACGCATCGGGTGGGGGGGGACATCAGACTGAAGATTTAAGCTCGGCGTTTAGTGTATTTTTAAAGCATTTTTTTACGGGAAAGAAAATGTCCCCCTCACTCCCACCGGAGGCGTGCGACTTGGCATGGGCCGTCCCCCCCACTAAAGGCGCGCGAGTTGGTATGGTCGTGCACGCGTCATAAATAAATAAAGAGAGCGAAAAAAAATCGCACTAATTCGCTAATTAAACTTATTAAAAGTTGACTGATGTGAAAAAGGAATAGCGGTTGCTCACGGGTGGAGCTTACGGCGTGGTACATGGCTATTTTTATTTAACGTAAACCCCACCGTTGGAGATCCAAATCCTTCAAGCGCGCGAACACACATAATGCCACAGACAATTTTTGACTTTTATATAGATACCTAATTTGTCAGTTTGTAAAGATCGATTGCTTTTAGTGGGAGTTGTATTAAGCTTTGTACTTGTTATATTACTACAATCCCTTGTGAGTTATCAGTAAGGAATTAAAATGTGTTACCAAAATAAGCCGCTTCAGGATTCATCTGTATTTTTTAGTTTTGTTCAAACAAGTTACGGTATACTGGACAACTTTGTGGTGTCATTGAAATTGTGTTGTTGCAAATGGAATGTTTATGTAAAATTCCGACAGAAGCCATCCAGATTGTGGGTTCCTACATGCTCAAGGCAGACGAGTTACTGCAGTAAGTTATCAATACATAGCACCATAATTTACGCACAGGACCTTGAACAGATAAGTGTCATTTTCCGACCCCAGTTACCTTGGAAAAAGATAACGCGGGTGCATTTAACAAGATAACATTTAACAAGGTAAACGTAGCAATTAAGATTTTTTTTTAAGTGTATCGATGCAATCTCATCTGAGGACAAGACATTGTACTATGATGGGGGTGACTGGCATCATTAGCAGGGTACACCTTCAATAGGCATCATTTAAACTCAATCCTTTGTCATTGCATGCTTGATTAATGCAGTTTTATGTTTGGAAAAAATCTGAAGCTCCATTGATTACACCTGACGGAACATGTCTCGACACATACAATTTTTTGCATTTACATTTAAGCACACATGAATCGCATATGTTTTGTGTGTTGTGAATTTTAAACAATGGCTTCACCTGGGGACCTCATGATCAGTCTGTCCTCTTTATTATTGTTTTTCTCAACAGTGTGATCGAAAACAGCTTGAAGAATTTCAAGTCGTTTTTCCGCTGCCTCTACGTGGGTATGTTTCTTGCAGCACGCCTGCCAGTGGTGCAAAAGAAGTGTACACCGTTGTATAATGGCAAGCGGATATTTTAATATCTCGATCAGTCTTACGGTATGCAACTTTTCTTAAAAATAAAAAAGTTGTGACTACACAACAATGTCTTGCTTGACTGTTGTTTTACAGTTATTTTTCTTTTTATCAGCAATGCTGCACATGTCAGATGAAACCATCCCACCAGAGCTGAGTAAGGTAAAGTGTCATTCCCATATAATGCAATCTCCATTTTGCTCTATGCCACAAATGTCGTGTTTTGCAATATAAATGTCTCTTTGTGCTGTTAAATCTTATAAATGCACACAATTCCAGCGTGAAGATAAGCCAAAGTTTTTACATCATCCGCCGCCACCTCCTGTTGCAGGTCAGCCAGAAGGAACTCATGTTTGTCGCAAACTTTCTTAAAGACCACTTTGAAAAGGTGAGGATGAACTCCATGTTAATCATCGCAACTCCTATCCCACACTGCGTTCCCCAAATGCAACAAGCAAATAAATGACCCGTTGAATAAAATTGCATTAAAATGTTTTTGATATTTTCTTTCACAAGGAACCAACGCTGTTTGAAAAAAAAAGGAAAATTCTTCAACGTTGATCGTGTGGGGCAGGTAACCTGCAACCCATTTTATACAAATTTGCAAACTATGCATTCAAATAATGGTGTTCATGTGCATTTGGTCAAAACATGTTATGCATTACTTGTGTTGCTGTTAATGCCACAACTTGTGTTTTTTTGTGTCGAATAAATGTAGTATTTAAAAGATGAGCTGCTGCTGACACCGCAAGATATGAAGCACAATTCGTGGGTTAACTTTGTCGAGAAAAGCGTTCACCTTAAAGGTGCGACCCCCAATATGCACACATGACAACTCTTGTATTAATTAAAATTATAAACTTGAAAATGAAAGTCATGATTCCTAGAATGTCATTCATAATAACCTGAATTGATATTGCACCGATTGACATGTAGTCAGTGTTGTGGTTTTCAGTCGCTTAACACGTAGCACCATAACATAAAATGTATTCATATTTTTGCAGAAACTTTGTTAATGCAACTGTTCAGAAGCATAAATGCTTCCTGGTTAATTGCCAATGTCCTTCACAGGAGAATAGCTGTCAAATGTGCATGTGGTGCAATTGTACCGGGGCCTATGGGCCAGAAGAGGCCCAGCTGCCAGGCTATGAAAGGGAAGGGTAGGAGGGGGGGTGCTTATTTAATTAATTACGTAGGGCCCATGCCACCCACACAATGCCACTGGCGCTCTACCATTCGACAATTATTTATAGTAAATTCTTTCTCATTCTTCGTATTGGCTGATGTCCATGTAGAACAACAACTATAATTTTACATTGAGGTGGTTGGTCCAGATATTTGCATCCGAAGTAGCAGAGTGTATCGCTATGATGCCACCCTTGGTGTTTGTGAATTAGGCATTGAGTCGTTGTGTAGTGGGTTCCACGGAGACTGGAGACAGTCTTTAGAGGCAACACGGTTTATTGTTAATCTTAACAGGAAGCTCCCTTTACTCCCACTACCTGGGGAGGTATGGCCTCCGGGCTGACGTGCCCTATCACTGGGGCTACGGGCTCTGAGTCATCTGGCTAAGGGTGACCTAGGGGAGGCTAACTGACCCGACCCAGCCAAAGTGCGGGTCTCGACCACTGGTCCGGGCTCTGAAATAACTCCCCAACCCCTCACCTGGGGTCGTGGGGGGGAACTCGGCCTCTCAACGGTCCGGCTCTCTCTCTTTCTCTCTGGCTCAGGGTGGCACCCCCTTTAGACCCGTGGCAGCAACTACAGGTAAGTATACACAGGGCGGTGTGTGGCTATGTATTTCCGACGCTACACATGTTCCATGGTCTGTTTTGTGTTTACCACAGTTGCACACCGGAGATTTTTTTTTTCATTTTCCACTTCCAGACAGCCCGCTGCTGTACACTAACTTCCCAACGCGGTCACTGTGCCAAATGCGCACGCTCATGGATGAGAACGTGCAGCAGTGTCTGCAGCAGCCAGCTGTGAGTGTGGCCACCGGCCAGCGACACCAAACCTCTCCGTGCCACACCTGCAGTCAATTCCAATTGTGCTTTTGTCATTTGTAATAAATTTGCAATCGCAGTGTAATTGAAATGATAATTTCATCTCAATGGATCTTGCGTTGTTGCATTCATTATATACATTCTCTTTAGTTCTTTCGGTCAAGTCACGAAGGTATAAAATAAATCACGACGTTTCGGGCACAACACAAGCGTCCGTCATCAGGTGGGAAAGCATGATCTGCTGCTGAGGCAGACTGTTTTAAAAGGTTTGAAATGGGTGTAGCCCCAAGGGTCATAAAGAAATGGCCGGGGCTAGTGATGTTAATGTGAGAAATTAGCGTGTAACTGTAAGAACGGAAAGTGGTGCAATACAAAGGCATGAGAGCGCAATCCAAAGGCATGTGGGCATGAGAGATTAGAGAGACAGTCGGAAATAACAGCTGACATAGGCAGGTAGGATGAAAACATCACAGTCAGTGAAGACTTTATGTGGTTAATATCGTCCTTCCAATGATTGCTCAGTTTAAAACCATCCTCTCGATTGAAGTTGTGTTTGTATATCTGGATGGCTTCATGAACAGATCTCTGAAGGTAGCCCCAGTAGGTTTGCAGAGTACCTCTGTCTTGGAAAAATCTATTTCGTGAGCCCACAGCATTAAAACAATGATCAGCAACGGCAGAGGTATTGGTCCTACCGTGTTTCAGATCTGCCTTGTGTTCACGAATGCGGTCCGAGACATGTCGTTTCGTTTCCCCAATGTAACTGCTGCCGCAACCACAACTCGGTTTGTAGACACCAGGGTATTGCATGTCAGGAATCGCATCCTTTACAGATGGGATCAAATCACGGATTTTGTGTACTTTGTTGAAACGAACCTGGATCTGGTGTTTGTTTAAGATTTTGGAAATCTTTTTGGTAACCCCTGCTATGTATGGTAAAGTGATGGTTTTGGTTGGATCCTCAGAAGGTTGTCTCCCCATAGAAAGCTGTCTCCCCATAGCTGGGGAGACAGCGTTGCGGATTGTACGGTCCAAGTATCCGTTCATCCTGAGGGCTTGCTGTACGTGCTCCAACTCACTGGCTCGGTGGTGCTGGTCGGAGATGCAACGGGCCCTATGGTGTAGTGTGTTGCGCCCGAAACGTCGTGTTTTATTTTATACATGTGACTTTACCAAAAGAACCAAAGAGTATGGATTCCTGCAGTCACGAAAGCTTCAAATCAAGATTATATACATCGTTAATTGCTATATTATGAGTTTTGACAACCCAGCGGCAATGCTGTTCCTTGCAGGAGGTGATCAGCGGCTCCTTGTGTGAGTGCGTCGAGGGAGTCTTGTTCAAACACCCTGCCAGGTGGGAGCATGCTTGTGAATTCCACCGACATCAAGTGGATACTAAAACGATTTAACAGCAACTGATGTAAAAAAGCGAGTAATTATGATTTTAAATTACTTCTCGGTTGAATATGGCTGCCTGTTTACATGTTTTACAGAGAGGACACAAGGTCATTCTGCCTGTCTTTGTGAGTAAATTCATCAATATGTAGAACACAGCAGCACATTACAATTTATAATGCACACAATGATGCACGGACACAAATGAGCATGACTCGGAGGTGCGAACAAATGTAGCTGAGTAAAAGTTAGTTTAACACGTAGGCTTTCGCGACCAATATTATTCATAATAAAGGTTTTTGGGTTAGATCGCGTTTATTATTAAATAAATAAACGCGATCTAACCCAAAAACCTTTATTATGAATGAGTAAAAGTTAGTGAAATTATATCTCTCTTCCTGTCTTGTAGCCACAGATGTTGCTGACGAGATAGCGCTGTGGTGTCGTTGTGCGGGTGCATGTGTGTGTACACGTGTGTGTGTGTATGGCGATCGGTCGGGGGTCACGTGCGACAGCTGGAGCGACGAAGATGCCTCTCAGCAGTACACGGTCTACTCTGTGGGCGCCGTTCCCACCTCATCCCTCATCCTCATGCGGACCACCACAGACTCCACACGTGCCCGGTAACTTTTAAGTGGCCACGTGGAACACAGAAACACAAACTCGCACAGAAACATACAAAAACATACATGTATATCCAAAAGCAAAAAACACCTTTATAGCAGGATATATTCTTGGTGTAAAGTGCTGTTCATGAGCACCTCAGCACCAGGGACGTGCGGTCAGGGGAGGCAGAGCCTCACCTGTCATACTCCAATGAAAATAGCTGTTACTAAAAGTAAAAAAAAGAATAAAATAAATATAAAGATTTTTCCACTGATCTGTGTTATAAATGTCATTTCTGTACAATTCCAATCATTTTTATAGTCAAAATCGCTAAATTTGCGGAGCTCCGTTGCAAATACAGGATGAGACGAGAGGTGAGGCAGCGACGCGCTCAGCCTCCCCTCTGATTGCGCAACCCCTCAGTAGCTGGATGGAGCGCGGGCAATTAAGTGCATACCTGTTACTATCTCTGTCACCAGTGTAATGTTTGTAGACCCCTTTATTTCATGTCCTCGCCTTCCATACTCCAGGTAACTTATTTCACGTATGTGTATGAAGATATTTAGGCTCGCTGGTGGTCTCGTCATGAAACAGCAGTGAAAAAGCACCAGGAGAGGCAGCTATCATATCCGCCTCACTGAGCGGGACATGTCTAACACGCCCCCTCAGTGTGGATACGCCCCCCTCGTTGACACGCCCCCCTCAGTGTGTGAATCTGGCTCTGACACTAGCTAGTGCCTCCCCAGCCATTGACCTCACCGCACGTCACTGCTCAGCACCACACCTGGCTGCCTTTGTCTTACCCAATGCTGATGTTTACACACTGCATGAGGTACTAATTTAAGGCTATGTCGATCTAACGGAGGCCTGGGACCGGTTCTGATAATCCCAATGAATGTTAGCCGTGGCCGAAAACCTAACTCAAATCACCGGGTTCATACCACAGTGCACTACAACAACCACCATTCGCCACTAAGTGGCGGTGACGTCACCACGGCGCTTGTGCCAGGCTATGTGCACGTTAAGGCCGCGTGAAGTGTCGAACGCCGAATGGCAGGAGGTCACGGGACAGACCCAGGTGCCATGAGTCGACTGACTAAGATGACTGGCCGATGCACCACCTGTGCCCCCTACTATGCCAACTTGCTGTGTTTTTGTCACCCGGCATTCTGCTCGTTGTTGTGAGCGTCGCTCCTCTGCCCTCAGTTATTGCTTGAGGGTGACCGACTCCAACTGCCCAGTACCGTCCTTTATGAGCCTCCTCCACAGAGGTCGCAGACGTTATTCTTTAGAGGCAACACATTTATTTAACATCAAACACGTTAACACAAAGGGGTAACTGCCCCTTTACCAGATACAGCCTAGGGTGGTGACCACCCAGCTAACTACTCTATACTGAGGAGTTACAGCTATGAAGGGTCAGACCCTCACTTGAGTCCCCGACCACGTGTTGATGCCTAGTTGGACGTAGAGCTTTCAGCTTGTAGACGTGGAGCTTCCAGCTTGTGGAATGCAGCGACCCCGGTCCCTCTCGGGGACCCATCTTATATCCCCCTCGGGTCGGGGCCGCTCCGCCCTCGGCCCCGCCCACCTTCTCGAGCGTTCGAGCTCCCTCTCGATCCCCCTCGAGAGCTCTCCCTAGACACGTGATCACCCCCTAGCCCCCACACCTGGGGCCTTCTGTGGACATTCCAGATCACGTGTCTACAGGGTCAAGCAGAGTGCCATGGCCCGGGGCAACCCTGCCCCTGGGCTGACACTCTCCCGCTCCCCCTTGTGGGAGACCGCACTATGCGCTATGCGTGGTGCCCACGCTATCCCAGCGCTCACCAAGCCCCGCTAGGGCTGGTACTACACCTGCCTACGGGTTGTACGCGATGACGGTGCATCGCACGCCGTGCTATGCTAAAGCCGACATCACACAGGAACCAAACCGGTGCTGTCCGCGATGTAGGGACATCACACACCACGGCCCTCCCGGGCCAGCACTATACAGTAACATCCCTGATGTCACTCCACTCCTGTACCACATCACTCCATCTCGTCTTTAGCCCGTGCCGCACCCGTTTAGCCCCTTGTATCCGGCCGAACAAAAGTTGTTTAGCCATGCGGTGGCTGGGCATGCGAGCTACATGTGACCCAGCCAACGCAGTCTTGCCTCCCAGAGGAGCTCACCGATGGGACTTTGTCCAGATTTTTCAAGGATTTGTGAGCTCACACAATCTAGCCTGGTTAAACCCAGGATGGATCGTAGGAAGGCCAGCCTAAATGTTTCAAACCGGTGAAGATGGTCCATAAGGGGGTTCACGTTTCACAAGCATAGAGAAGGGAGGGCATGACTGTGGCCGAGAACACCCGAAGCTTCTTGTGGAGCAACAGACCAGGTAGCTTCCATACAGCGTTACGCAGCCGGTAAAAAGATAATGCTGCTTGATTGAATGGGAGTGAGACCTCTGCTGTCAAATTGGAGCCGGTCATGAGCACGCTTGCCCAGCTATGGAAAACTTCCACTCGCTCTACAACTGCCCCCATCACCAATTGGGAGTTGTGGGGGTGGAGTGTCTGATGGTACAAAATACCGAGGCAGGTGCTTAGTTTTGGTGGCGCTGATGGTAAGGCCCCACCTCTTAGTGGCATGCTTCAGGTTCAGCAACAGCGCCTCCAACTCCTGAGTGAGCAGCAATCACCAGATTATCGGCATATATAACATGGTTGACCAATAGGGAGCCATGAGCCATACCTTGACTGCACCCAGGCATCGATTAGCCTCCCATTGTATCTGTTCCAAGTGTAAATTCCTCCAGTACAGCCATCAAAGGCTTCATGAACTACGTGGTCAAAATAGATGTGAATTAATGTGGGAGTGAGAGGACATCTCTGTCGCACTCCAAGGTGAACAGGGAATGGCTTCGACTCCTGGCCACGTAGTTTTATCCGGGCCTGCTCACCATCATTAAGGTCCTTAATGATTGTGAGCAGATAGTCAGGGACTCCGAAAGCACGAAGAACAACCCAGAGCCCAGGCCTACTGATGGTATCATAGGCCTTGACCAGGTCACTAAAGCAGAGATGTAGGTCTTGTTGGAATTCCCTACACCTCTGCTGTAACAGACGGACAGAAAATATGGCATCTGTGCAGGACCACCCTTTCATGAAACCACATTTTGGCTCTGTAAGCCTCTCCTCAGCGTGCCTGGCAAGGCGATGTTGAATCATTCTTGCCAGGACCTTTTCCGGCACACTGAGGAGTGAGATGCCCCTGTAGTTGTTAGTCTGTGCAGTCCCCCTTCTTAAAGATGGGGACCACCAGGGCATCCTTCTAATCCTGCGGAACCCATCATGTAGGGCATTCTGCGCACAATCGCCACCCTACCTCAGCATTTTGCTTGGGAGATCAGCTCTGCCCGGTGCTTTTCCTAGATCGCCTTCCGTACTTCCTCAACAAATGGCACCTCAGCCAGCCACTCACAGGGGGTGACTACTACCAATATTTTAGGCACGGCAGCCTCATCAGGGTCATCCCTACTTTGCCCCATGATGTTGTCCAGACTGAGGGAATTCCCTTCCCCCAAGACATCACAGAAATGCTCAGCAAATAAGCAAACCTGTTCCAGTGGGTCGGATATCGGATAACCTTTCTTTCCCCTAATCATGGTGATAGGTGTGGCGCTGCAAGTTACTTTTTTGATGGAGTTAAGTGATTTGTGATCGCGGGCTACTGAGGCAGTCTCTATCTCCTCAGCAACCCGCGACCATCACCCATCCTTGCAGCGCCTCACGGCTCTACCGAGCGAAGGCTGCGATGCTGTAGACTGAGAGTGGGACTGTTGCTTTTTCTCAACCAGCCTGTGAACACCTCCTGTCAGTCAGGGTCTCTGGGGAGGATTGGACCGTGTACCCAAAGCAGCCATTGCAGCTCCATGAGCCACAGTCCTAAACCTCGCCCATTTCCCCTCGGCATCAGAAGAAGTTAGGGACGATGCCAACACCAGTTGCAAGCGATGATGAAATTCTCGCTTGCAACTTTCATCAGCTAGCTGAGACCATGCCACTGTGGGTTTGAATGGGGTCCTGGGTGTAGACCCACCACCGGAGTGGAAGAATGGCAGGTGTCTTACAGGTGACAAGCCGATGGTCAGTGGGCAGATCAGCTCCACAGTAGGTCCTGGTGTCAAGGACATGGGCCCACATCCACTGTTCCATCACTATGTAGTCCAGCAGATGTTCTTGCTTGGACCCGGCATGCATCCATGATGTTGTGTGGATGCGCCGATGCCGGAACAGCGTGTTGGTAATTACAAGGCCATGGGCTGCACAAAAGTCTAGCAGCCTCCTACCGTTGTTATTGAGCTGATCTGGCCCATGCTTTCCAATCACTCCAGACTAGGTGCCAGCATCATGACCAACTTGGGCATTAAAGTCACCCAACAAGATGACTTTATCCTGAGGGGCCACTTTAGCTAGCAACTGTGACAGTAGGTCATAGAAAGCATCTGACTCAGCGACCTTACCTGCATCCCTCCACTGATGATTATCTTTGGTGGGGGCATAAATAACCACGACCATCACTCCTTGTCTCTGGTTGATGGGAAGACGAGCCCAAAGTAGCCTGGGGCTTACAGCTTCCCACACCTCACCGCCACGCTCCCACACCCCCTTCATTCTTTTATTCTGAAGAAGAGCCACTCCCTGTTGTTTGGCTGTCTCCTGCCACGAGTAGAGGACTGTCCACCCCTCATGGTGGCAGGAGCCAGTCCACCAGACCTCCTGAATACCGCAGAGATCCAGGTGGTACCAGTCCAGCTCCTGACAGAAAAGTGGTAGCCTCCTCCACAGCGAGCGTTCGAACATTCCACGTGGCCACCCGCAGTGTATTTTTGTTTCTGAGGAACCCCAAGGGTAAGGATTCGGTCTCCTGGCTCCGCCAAATGGGGTTTGGCCAGGAGACGTCATAGACCCCTGTCTCCTCGGGGCCTCCGACACAAGCTTAGCTGAATATTTTTCACGTGGTTTTGTGGTAATGAGCCCCAATTTGGCCGCTGTGGTGGCTTCGAAACACCATGAGGCGAATGGCCAATCGAAATTGCCCCTCCCCCCATGGCACTGCTCACCACAGCGTTACCGTCTGGCGCCAACGAGGAGGGTAGGGGGTTTTTCCAGACAGCGCGCTACACACACACAAAGACCAACGTAGGCGCAGACCCCAACCCCCAGTCTGCTAGGGATCGTAAGTTGGAGGAAGACATTTTTTAGGCATTAACTGTAGTAACGTGAAGGTATTCATCTGTGTACTCTCATTGAAAAGATGTTTAACTTATTACACTGTAGAACAAGGATAATTGGGACTATTACTATTGCTTGCATACACGAAATTAACTGCACATTTAATGTTATCAGCTGAAAGAAACAATGCATTTTTTCCCAGGAATGAAATTCCTGGCTCCCTTCAGCTGGTTGCGTTAGAGTTCTGGGGCCGAATGAAGTGGAAGCGTAGCGAGCGAGCGGACGACACAAAGAGGTGACACCCCCCCCCTCCAACTCACGCGTTCTGTGCCGCACTTTGCAGTTTAGCGAGAGCTTCACCGAATGCCACGGCTGTGTTCTTCCTCCGTGTTGCAGTAAACACAGGGTCGTGGACGCCAAGTTCTACGATGGGCAGACGCTGAGCGTGCTGCTGCTGGAGGAAGACGGCGGAGAGGAGAAAGGACCGCTGCTGGCTCAGGTCCCGTTTGCTTCGGTGTACAGGGACCAGGAGCAGCAGCTATCGCTGCAATCTTGCAGCTTTAAAACGAGGCGAGTGATTGTGCGACGTGCAGCTCGCAAGTCCGGCTCTTGCCTTCATCGGCCATGATCTATCCACTGATGGATGAAGATCTACCTGAGCTTTTTCCATTTTGGTTCTGTGATGCAACAATTGATCTCGCTCGTGCATGCGAGCTAATTTGATCGCTCCGTCTCCTTGGTAGTTGTCCTCTCCAGCGCGTACTTGCCTTTTATTGCCACTACATCATAAGTCTCAACACCGACCGGCATCCGCTCTTGGCGTGTCTTGGCCAAGCCCTCACTTTTCACATCACCTGAAATATTTTGTTACTTTCCAAAAAGATTATAATTCTCGGGTTACTACATAGCCCCGACAATCATTTCTTTGTTTTGAACGTAGCATGTCACCTAGTGTAATTGTCCAGATTGTGTTTTTTGACGGGGGGGTAATGTTGCCAATGCCATGCTGCTGCAGTTTGGAGGAGCAGAAGGGCAGTATCCCGGTGCACGTGGTGACCTTGGTGGACCAGTGCAGGAGGATGGAGAACATGAAGGCACGGTTCGTCTCGGTCAACGGCATCCGCAACGTTTCCTGCGTGGTGGGTGCAGGCTCGAGGGGAGGTGGGGGGGGAAGGCGGCACGTGCGTCGGGTTATAATTTTAGGGATTCATGGATATGGTCTATCTTCTTTGGTTATTTCGGTAAAGTCACGTAGAATGAGAATAAAATAATAAATTAATAAAATAAAATAACAATGAAATTCTCACGACGTTTCGGCCACAACACAAATGGCCTTCATCAAGTGAAGGGACGAGACTGTCTTGTCCCACTTGTGTTGTGGCCGAAACGTCGTGAGAATTTCATTGTTATTTTATTAATTTATTATTTTATTCTCATTCTACGCGACTTTACTGAAAGAACCAAAGAAGATGAATCCTTGCAGTCACGAACGCTTTAAATCGGATATGGTCTAATTGTCTTGGGACTGAAAAGATGGTGGCCTTGCTGGAACTATTATTTTTAAAATGTCATCGTAGTTTTCAAAGTCCACGAATCTGTTTTAAACGTTGCTAAAATGTATCAGTTTTGGCAGTGATGTAACCATCGTGGTGAATGGCAGCTATTGTTCTTTTTGTGTGTCGTGATTTTCCTGCACGATTGTTAAAGTTGCCGTGAAGTATACTTTTGAGGATAAAACCACAAATGCAAAATACGAGAAGTATGAAACATTGCCATATGTCGAAAATGTTAGACTTGATATGAAGAGAATTTAAAATAACAAACTTTTGATTGCCCAACTTTTGATGTATAAGAGATTTTTGTGTACTTGGCATAATTCGAGCCAGGTCTGCCCAAATAAGCAACCTGGAAAATATTTCCGCACCCAGCACAGTGCATCCATCATATTTCTCGCTTTGGCTATTGCTACTATTCTGTAACACCTCCAGCCAGCCTGGAATATATTCGGTGAGAAATTAAGCCCCCGGGTGCATTGATATTTGTCTATCGTCACAGTCTACTTTACCGTTCAGAGTCCCTTTTGAACCGTTTTGGGTATCTAAGGTTTGGTGAGGAATGTCGTCTGCTTTTGTGTGGCTCGCAGCTGAGCAGTAACCTCCGCCACGTGCGCATGTTCGAGATGGACGTGGAGGAGGAGGGGGAGGCCGAGGAGGCCGCGGACGAGAGCATCGACGCGCTGGAGGAGTCGAGCGACAAAACGCTCGAGTGCGTGCAGGACGAGGGCGACGTCTCCGTGTCACTAGACACCTCCGAGCTTTGTGACGGGGCCGGGCAGAGCACATCCGGTGCCGACAACCGTTAAAGATCGTCGTTGGCGCCTGCTGCCAAATCACAGCGGCAGTGTCGACGTGAAGCGTTCAGCACTGTTTAACAGTGGTGGTTCGTGCTGGGACGTATGAAAAAACTATTTGGGGCTCGCGCGAATTATTCCTTTGGGTTTTTGCTTCGTCAACTCATTTTTATACAAAATGAGTTGACGAAGCGACGAACTTGCCATTAATGTGTCTGATGTCATGAAAATATATCCCTGGATTTCCGTGTAAATGTTTGTTTCCGAAAAGGACCCCAATAAATGTATAAATACTCAAATATATCTTGTTTCAAAGTTATTTAACTTAATTATGAAAATACATAATTAACATTGCAGGCTGGATATATTTAGGATTTTACTCGTCGAAAAGCTGTATTGCAGTCGTCGTTCGCGCAAAATAATCAAAAGCATCATGGAGAATAAATAAGTTGACAATAGTCCTCTTTCCCATATTTGTTTTCACAAAAAAGCATTTTTAAAATAGTAATAGATAACGGGAATAATAACAGATCTTTACCAGAGCAGCACATGCGAGGGCACTGCAATTTCAGCTGATCGCACCCGATACAGCCAACCATGCTCATCAGAAGTGCAGGGGAAAGACAACTCAACACAAAAAGCAGTTATAAAGAAATTCGTTTTCAATTTGGATGGGATGCGATACTGCTGTCAAAGGTTATCGGTTGCCATCACAACACTTGCTTCATTATTGCCACAATTTATTTGCACACTCACAAAGCGTAATTATTTTGGTCAGGTTTTATTGCAATAAAACACCAAATCAGCAAGCGAGTTAAAATTGTTTTATTTTGATTTGAAGCTTTTGTGACTGCAGGAATCCATACTCTCTGGTTCTTTCGGTAAAGGCACGTTGATAGGAAAATAATAAAAGAACACGTCAAGTTTTAACTGCTGTGATTTTCACTCACCCACCCGTGCTCTTTTCGTTTACTAATTAAAGCTCCTTGACATGCCAATTTCTCCAGCCCCCACCCGTCCCTGCACGCCACAAACCCTCCACCCCCCCCCCCCCCCCCCCCCCCCCCCGTGAACTCCTGCAGCCACGACTCTACAAAACCCCTACCCCCCCCCCCCCCCTGTGCCTATATAAAGCCACAACAGATAATTGTTTCTCACCTGATGACGGATGCTTGTGTTGCGACCAAAACGTCGTGTTCTTTTATTATTTTCCTATGAACGTGATTTTACCGAAAGAACCGAAGATTGTTTTTTTATATATATGGACGATATTTATATATGGCGTGTGTGTGAAATCACCTTTATTGTGGTTCATTACTCAGGGCAGTAAAAAATGGTTGCTCTGACTTGCTGCCTCCTGAAGGTGGGAAACCCCCGACAAGTCACACCCAGCATGACATGGGTGATGATGCAAAGAAAATTAAGCACAACAACTAGACAGTATTTTCATACATTTAAAATAGGATGAACGCAAAAAAATGCATAATGGGTAACAACCATTAAACGTGTATACTTTGAGGAACAGTAGGATGGTAACTGGTTCACGGAAGTTGTTTTGGGGACTTTTGTTGGGGTTGTGTTGGTGGTGCACTCTGCATGGAATGTATGGGGACTGCTGTGGTGGCAATGTGCTCTGTGTGTGATGTGTACGAACATTCATGTGGCGAGTGTGCCTCCTGAACAGCAGAAAGAATGTTATATTTTAAACGCCGACTTTCAATTAATGGAAGGGAACGTAGCTCATTGGCAATAAATTGGCCAAACACATCAAATTCATCCTCCTTAAATGGCCTTGCAAAGTAAGTATCCATACTTTTAATGGCCAATTCCATTATCTGACTGTCTGTTTCTCCAAGTTTGTTCTCTTTAACTTTGGGCCTTTGCTTTGGGCCTTGTGGCCTATGAAATGTAAATTCAGGGGTTGAAGTTGGGCTGTTTGGAATCTCTGTGGTGTTTCTAGTTTTGGTTGGTAGTTCAGCTTCATCTTGATCAGACCTCTGTTCCACATCTTGACTGCTCTCGTTGTCGACATATTCCATCTGTACATAAACATGTAATCCATTAAAGTATTAAACTAAGTATATGTTTTCATAATTATATGCTGGCTAGCACACTGGAGAAGTAGCTACACATTCACAACTGTCACACCGTGCTGGAATTTCAACCAACGAATGGTGCCCTGGATGGAAATGTTTTCTTTGTCATCCCACAGGCAATGGTCTAATCTATTGTGTATGGTTGGATGGATAGCAAGTTACACCTATATCTATATTCGTATGCCATGAAATTGCTTCAGTTGATGTGCAGTAGATTTTTCCAATGCCTCTTGAATTTTCAATGTTGATTGAAAAAATGTATTGCATTATCGCTCATACTTGTTGAAAGACTATACGTTTCACCTGCAAAGATATAGGCTTCAATGTCCGCATATGACGGAAGAGTTTCCGTATGTGCAGCCTCTCTGGAACTTTGAACCTCCCTACACCAGAAATGAGGAACCTACAACTTCATGTTATAAGGCTCGATTAGGGTACACTGAGAAATAAGTTAAACATACATACATACAAATGAAACTTACCATTTCAAAATGCACAGCAAACTATTGATCCACCACTACAAACGTCTTAACTGCACTGTGTGCTTGCAAACACTTTTTGTAATTTTCTAAGTCAAATACTGTACCTGTCTTTCAACCAGTGTTTTTGTTAAATAATGCATAACCCAACAACATTTATGAGAAATTAATATTTGGCTCTCCATAATTAATGAAAGGTTCCCTACCCTAAACCAAATATGCTGCCAGGCAGTGCCATGTTTGGTGGTGGTCAATTACCCCTTTTATGCACAAATGCCCGTTGAAACCTTATGGGGGTCAGGGATTGCCAATGCACAACCAAGAGTTAAAAGTGATTTTGGAAATGACTAGAAACCCCTGCCTACACCAAACCGATCGCTCTTGCTCCTGACACAACCGTCGACTGTCTTGGCTCGTGCACTGCACTGAGCCTCTGCAAAGGCATGTATACATACACATGTCAAGGGCTCAAACAATGACATAACTGACATCAAGCTAGAAAACGAGAGGAGGTAATGGAGTCCACAGATTGGCAGGCTTAAACCGATTAAGATGAAATGTCTTCTCTTGCAGCAGAGAACATGATATAGATGCAATCTAGATTTGAAGCTTTCGTGACTGGAGGAATTTCATACTCTGGTTCTTTCGGTAAAGTCACGTAGGTATAAAATAAATCACGTTTCGATTGCAACACAAGCGTCCATCAGGTGGGAAAACTACAGCAAGAAAAACTATTTTCAGCAAAATTAGTTTTCTTGCTGTGGTTTTTTCACCTGACGATGATTGCTTGTGTTGCAATCAAATGGTCGTGATTTATTTTATTTTATACCTACGTGACTTTACCGAAAGAACCAAAGGATATAGATGCATTTTGCAAGTTTTTTTAATCCGGAGATAATTTAAGTCACCTGGTAGAAAATAAGTGGTCACAATGCGGGATTAAAGTGCTTACCTTCATATTAGAGATGGTCTTCTTACAGCCAACAAAGTTATCCAAGAATTCCAGATGTGGCAACAGCCACCAAGTCTGCCTTGAAGCATCACCCCCGCCATCTCCACTTTGCCTGCTTTTGCCCTCTTTTTTCTTTCTTGAATAGACTGTACGCAGATTTCGGATTTTTCTGGCGACCTCAATTTCTGTTAAAAAAACAAAAGGATCATTTATACGCCGATCAACTTTAATAATCATTCGCCACGATCGATCCACTGCTGGTTGAAAGCCTCACTAAACCATCAACATCTCTCAAGGTTCTGAAATATAATCTATTTAGCACATGTGCATTTGCCGATTTCACCGTTTTATTTCCACACTAGAGGTATTTTCGGGTGCGTTCCCTCTCCAACGTTAAGCCTGAAGCACAAGCCACCATGCTTCTGGCGATGTCCTGCCCAAGCTCGCAGGTCGATGATTTAACCTGACTTTGTTGGTAAGCATTACTATAACAGTACTAAACCAGTGCATTTGGAACATCCAACAATCACTGCCTGGCGGATTTCACATTTTTCTGTATTCAGGCCTCTGGGTCGTCCAGTCACCAACCTGCGCTGACTAGTGCGGTTAAGCCGAATGACTTTCATCCAGCAGTTAAATAACATTTAATAAAAAATATATATTATGACTACACACGCAGCCTTACTATTAGTTCCAAGTGACTGCGCCATGAACTCCAGAGCTTGTTGTCGTTTCCATTTGTTGTTGTAGTCCGGCAGCATCGTGTCGTAGAGGCAAGGGCTGCCTTTGTACAACTCCACCAGGTCCTCAAGCTTGCGCATCGACCACCAAAACTCATCCCCCATGTCTTCCATGTGTTCTTTTTTCTCTCTAGGTCAGGAATTGTGTAGACAACAAACCGATCCGAGTCAAATCATTTTGGGCCTCAATGTGCTGCCGGGTGTGTGGTACCTCTGTCTGGTATACCGTATATGTGGACACGCAATATCTAACTCACTAACTGGATTCACATTGTATTTACATCGTGCCCGACTGCAATAAATCATGGAAACAATCGTTCAGGTTTTTTTTTTAATCCTTCTGCCACAGTCAACCGAATATTTCACAATGTCGTTCTGTCTCCCACATTATTTGTATTTATGACTTATTATTTTCCACTCACAAAATTATCCGCTCCTTCGCTGCTAACAGTACAAATCATACTCATTTATATCACACGCTTAAAGTGATAAACATTTAGCTGCTCAACGCGCAGATACTTCACTGTCAATCATCACTGCCTTGGAAAAAAATGATTGGGGTGACAATAACCTGGTCCCATTCAACGAAAAAAGGTAATTAATAACTGTATCACGTAAGGCTGGAAATGTAACAATATTCTTGAGTCATGGTAAACCTATTAATCTGCTTGGTTGGCACAACAATCATATCTGACCGGTCATGGAATGGCCATACAGGTAGTACGAGTAATCCGGTCAAGTAGGCATCAACTCATCTTTTCTTTCCCGTGCGCAAAGCACGTGTAATAATTACTACTACTTTACAAAGCACACATTCACTGAAGTTGTGTCATAGCCGGGATGGAGCACCCAGTTCTTAGCTCGCTGCACGTGATGTCATTGTGAGTAGAGCAGGCAGGGTGACTGATCCAGCACCGATGGAGTGCCACTCGCCAAATCAGTCGCGCGCACTTTTTACTCTTTAAACGCTACTGCCGCGGTTACCGGTTCCGTGAATGTGTTCTGGTTGATGCCGCCACCGTGTGTGGAGGACTTGCGTCTACAAGACACGGGGTTTCGACTCGCTCACACCGAGTTCAGCTCCCACCACACCTTGTGCCGCTTCCATTTCCACTTTTAGAATTCCCTCCCATCGTCTCTTTAACCCAAAAAAGTTGCCACATTCACATGCGGCCATCTCAACAAGCTTATGAACTCGTGTACGACGCTAATTGTGCTTGTTTGTTGCTGGCCCCTTGACGTTTCCGACAAATGTGTTTTTTTTTCTTTGTGCTGCTCAGCAGCAGTGAATTTTAAAACAACACGTAACACAATATACTAATAGCTGCGTACACATCTCGGGATAAGTCTAGCGGTGGCGGACACAAAGTGTGTGGGCACCTCCGCGTACCCACTTCCGTCTGAGACGTCTGACCAGCGTGGAAGAGTGAGGCCAAAGACCTTCTTGTTGAGGAGGGGGGGGGGGCTCTCGTTATAGCCACTCTTCTCCCTCTTAGTGACGAAGGACCCCCCCCCACCACCACCTGCCAAGCCGCGACGGGGGAGCGGCGCCTTTCACCTTCGGTCGCCTACGGCCCCCACGCGCCACCGACCCCACGGAAATCGCGCGCACGTGACACGGTTTCCGCGCACGTGACCGGCAGCGCACGTGACCCGTCACCCCCAAACACCCCCCCCCGCCCCCAACACCAAAGACAAAGCTCCCCTCCCCCCCAGTGTAGCCTTGACAGACGCGTACGGGCAAGTGCCGTTAGCGTGTAAGCGCCGATATGAAGGGCGAAACGGCACACGAAGTGGGGTGCGTGGCCGAGAAACACGCCCGACCGCCTTTGTCTTCCCCCAAGTGGCGATGTTTACTGCACACCACACCGGGTACTCATTTGAGGCCGAGTCGACCTAGGGGAGGCGCGGGACCGGGTTCAAGATAATCGTCACTGGTGTTGGTCGTGAGCGGGAATCGAACTCAGGTCGTCAGGTTCGTAGCGCGGCGCGCCAACGACGACGCCCCCACCTACACCCCCCCCACACACACCCCGCACAGCTGATGCGCAGCGCCACGCCCCCCTCCATCTCATTTAAATGAGGGTCAGAAACGCGCGCGGCCGCTTTTGATTGGCTCGCCGCGTCAATGTAAAACGTCACGTTGTTAAACTCCGAGCCAATAGGACGCGGCACGCGCGTCTATCCGCTCTGGAAATTATAAAGCGGCGGTGGGGAAGAGTTGGAGCGGGGCTGGTCGGCCTGTTCGCGCCGACACCGTCGATGCCACCGGCCCCACCGGCCCCTCTCCCTCTTTGCGTCCCTTACGCTCCCCTGCACTGATCCGCCCGGCCTCGGGAAAACGGCGTCACCGGTCGCGGCGAGCGAGAGACATCGGAAGAGCGGCTCTGCGAGGTAGGCCTATTGACGGGCCCCCCTGACTTACCTGGAAGTTCCGCCGGCGAGGGGGCCGCCTCCGTTCGCGGAACAAGGGCGGCCGCTGCCCCACCCGCGCCGCCAACCGCTTTGCGTTGGTCGCTGCCGCTGCAGAACTGGAGTGCTTCACCGCGTTGCATCGGTACCGTTCCTTAAAATGAACGCAAATACAGCTTAATGGAAAGGCAGTCGGTAATCTATGGTTAGACTGCCCCCAATATAGAAATATGAAGTTGTCATCATGATGTAGACGCAACCCCAGGCGTAGCCTCTTGTAGATAAGCGCGCCGTTTGCTCCGTATAAGTGACTGCACAATACGAGTTTGAAGGGTTTTCTTTTTTTAGGTGGGAAGGTTACTTTTAAAGATAACAAGGCGTCCAATTCGTATTGGTGAGCCCGCAAATTCTCAGAATCGAGACGCTTCGATTTTGGAAGATTAAGGACGACTAATTCTAGTCTGAGTCTTTCGGTAAAGTCACGTAGATAGAAAATAATACAAATACCGAAAACCAAAGAATATGAATTCCTGCAGTCACGAAAGTTTAAAGTAAAAATTTAGACGACTAATTACATGAATCTCTTACATTAAACAGGATTAAAGCTGCCCCCCGATGTCAACGCTAGTTTAAAGACCCGAAATTACATTTTTGGTTAGGGCAAATTAGTTTGCCGGTTTCAGTTTTTACCCTCTGTATTGCGCAGTGTTTTCCGTGGCTTGGCCAGGCCGTTCCGTCTATGGCCTTGTCAAGTGGCCATGTATACATGTTCAGTCGTTATATTAACTCTTGGATTGATGCCACCCCCATATGTATGCAATTGTCATTAAAATAGATCCGTTGGGTTGCAACTGCGGTCACGTAGTTCCATCTTGCAGTCCTAAGTTTGCGAGTTCATATCCCGTTTAGGGGTTAACTAAACTCGCTCTCTCTCTCTGGGGTAGATGTAATAGGAGTATCTTTTTGCGGGAGTCAACAGTGGTTAATCCTTTTGAAGGGACTGGCCCTCATGTGATAGCACCGCGGGCTCAGCCACGCGTGCCAACTTTGATGAGCGACACCGGTTGAGCAGCAGAGAGACGCGATGCATTCGTCTGCTGACATGACGCCAGCAGCACAAATTGCGTTAAATTGGGGTAAAAGTCTATTTAAAAAAAAACATCTGAGCTCGCGTTGTTTGCACCGAGATGATATTTTCCACAATTCATTGACTCTAAGTAAATCAGCCCTTGGGCATGTGAGACGTAAAATGTAAAGTGTATGCGACACTTTATTGATCCGCAAAACGGGTTTATGTTAATAGTAATGCAACTAAGTGATTTAAAGATGCGTGCTGACTGCATAATACAGTATAGAGAATACTTAATTTAGTTTTACCGTATATCATTGTCCGTTTGCACTGGGAAAATATCTTTTAAATATTTCCCAAGTAGTGGTGTAAACTAGTAAACATGTTTTTATGGTGTCCGAAATTCACAACAAATCCACCAAGTCATCTTCCACCCGGCATGAACTGAATTCAAGTGATTCCTCTGTTAAGTAAATGTGATTCAATAGCACCTGGATTTAAATACTACATTTATGTTTAAATTATTTCGCACCGTACATAGCCAACCGTGCTAATCGGAGGTGTATAGTATCAACAGTAAAGTATACAAAAGGAAATATTGTAATAACAAGTTTCGGCCTTTTGTCATTCCACTATTAAATGAAGGCCTTTGAACACCGTGTTGGCCCACGAATGATGTTTCACCTTGCATGGCACGCTGACCAGTGCAGGTTGCGTGAAGTGCGTTGGGACCCAGGGCCGGTTCCATTATCACTTGCCACTGACGCTATGCATGGCCAGAAATCAAACTCCGATTACTTCAAAGTGCAATGCACCTGCCACTGCGCTGCGATTACACCCCAACCTTAATGCAGTTTATTGTAAATACATCAATAAGGAAGACCATGTATATCAGAGATTAAGATTTGAGTCATGTATTTTTCATGCAAAGTTCTTTTATCAAGGCACAGTTGCATTATGTTCCTGCTGAAGTAATGAAACAACTTGTACAGTGCCTATTTAAGCTGAAGTGTTATTGTATAACTTGCTACCCCAGCATTGATATATGATGTTCTTAAACTACAGAAGTGAGTGATCTTGTCTCTTGGGACTGCTCCATAGCTCTTAGTGAGGCTTAATTTCATACTTCAGTGCAAACCCATTCTACCCTTCATCTATGCGTACATATATTCGAATACATGCTATTTCTTGGCAGTATTTAAGGATTTCAAATAATGCCTTGGGCGATAAACGTGCTATTTAAATAATTTACATACGTTTTTTCAAAATATGCACCGTTTGGGATGTAACAAAATTGTGTTAAAGATATGCTTCATTGTTGAAATGTTTCTCATTTATGTTTTTCGTTTACAACGTCTTATGATTATACATTATAATTATGTTTTAACTTCCAATACATTGCTTGTATATGCACAATCATATTATACAATAATTTTAATGAAAGACAGTGCACACGTTTTTGTGACCAATGGCTTACCTTTAACATGTAGCTTAATCTAAGAATGTTTTTTTTTGTAAAAATAAAGAGGGCTCAATCATGTGGTCACAGGCTGGTCATGTTGCTTTGTGAAACTTGAGCTACGCAGTTTGTGTGCCCATGCTGCCTGGCTGTGCTTAGCACTACAGCAATAACTGCCTCTTAAAATCTCCTCACCATCAGCTGTGTGCAGTTGCAGAAATGCAGAGCAGGGACAATGGAGGTTCCTCTTGCGAGGCGAGGCATACGCAACCTGAATATGGCGAGTGGAGCAGTGAACAGTCCTGGCACCCCCTGCAATCCGAGAGGGGTAGGTGTCGGACTAAAAGTGAAGCAAACTGTGCGCACTTACTGTGTTATTTGAATATTTAAAATTCAACGTTCAAACTTTACGCCCGACTGACTTTTTATTTCTCATTTTAAATATAAGGTACTCTTATATATATTTGATACAATGGCTTACTACTGGCTGGAATTAGTTGAATGTTTTGAATGTGCATCATCATCAGGAGAAGAAGTGGGTGGACCGTGCCTGGAATCTGATGTTGAGAACAACACTGCCGATTCATACAGGTGCATAAAAAAATCTACCTTTTGGTTACATACCGCATCCAAGTGTTCATGCTTTTATATAATTTTTAACTTGAGATGGTCATGATTAATACTGTGCTGTGCAAAACTGCGTGATACATGGTAACCTTGCAAGGTGTACTGGTGGACGATGTGCGGAGTCTGTTTGAGTGATATTGAAATGCCTGTTTGCTGTCATGCTCTGCTGGCACTGGTAGGCAGGAGTGGGTGAGGATGTTTGACGACCAGGAGCATGTTTCTCGAGTGCGGCAGCGTGGCATGAAGGGCCAGCTGAGAAGCAGCCGATTCCGTAGCGTGTGCTGGAAGGTACGAGCATACACCAAGCAAGCGTGTGCATGCACACACACAGCTGTGCTCCGTCCCAGTGAAATATATTCATTTATTATGTTTTTGATTATTTTCCATTTCCCGCACCACGGCCCTGTTGATGCATTGTAGTTACCGTGCGTTTTGTAAAGCTCTTTGAGACACGGCTGCATTGTTAGTGTATGTTCGTTTTTGATGGCATGAGGCAACTGGTTTCCGAATCTTGTTGTGGAACGAGTTTGTCTTTCTGCAGATGTTCCTGAAGTGCTTGCCGGAGGACAGAGAGTTGTGGGTGAAGATAACTGAGGAACTGAGGCAGCAGTACGACCAAATCAAGCTCATGGTGGGAATTCATGGTTCCCTGCACAGCATGGCACTGATACTTTAGCCGTACTTGTTCCATAATCAATCAAATGCATGTGACGTGATTTCAGAGTGGAGTGCTTTTTTGAGTCTGTCATTGGTGTTCCTCACACACAGACTAAACAAACCACAACGGAATGCCCATATACATTTCAGATAATAGCTATGCATTAGTGGACTAAATACATCTCATTGTATTGATCCCTATTGATTTTTTACATACTGCTGCCATTGTCTGCGTGTGTACAGCACATCACAAACCCCAGGAAGGAGGCAGGAGAGAAAGACTTGAACATCAACAACCCTCTATCACAAGCAGAAGAGGTATTCAAAGACCAATTTACAACCATCTATTAGGCACCACTGGTAATATCCTCTGCTGGTTCAGAGTTAAAGTGCATTTAGTA